ATTGGAATTGTATTGCTTACCTCACCCAGTAGTCGCAGAAGCTTGAAGCTGCGATTGTTGATCTTCAGTTGCGGTGAGCTGGGGAAACAGCACATGCAATCTGTGAAGTTGTAGAGCAGGTCGAAGAAGTACTGCGCCATGGCGGAGGAAGACGGGGACGAGTGGCGAAGGACAGATCCGATATTAAGTGATTCCAGGACCTTCCCAAGGGTTCAAGTAAATGAATGCGCGATCAGGAGAAAAGCCTGGATGCAGGAAGGAGGCAGGGGATATGCTAGGAAGAGTCGTAGCGGAGGTGTCAGGTGGAATGGGCTTACGGAGAAGTGGAGTGGCCTTAGAATCTTTGGGCTTTGGGTTTATTTGTTGTTCCCCCCCTTTCCGCCTTCTATAGAACTTCCTCTCTTTCTCTATTTGACGATCTTTGGTTCTTCTGTTGGACCTCTATACGATCTTTGCGGCGACCATGATTGATACCCAGTTCGTCTGATCCGACTTTCTCTCTTGCACTCTCCCACATCTCTTGGCTTGACTTATCGGCCCCCCCCCAGCAACCAGCCGCACCTTCGGCCCTATTGACGACACACTCCCCACTACCTATTTATTCGCTACTTGACCTCTTGATTGTGCCCCAAAGATGGCGAACTCTGATGATGTTCAGGTCGGTGACCTGGTCAACGTGCCTGGTGGCATGTATGGTACCGTCAAGTTTCTAGGAACCGTCGCGGGCAAACCAGGCCGATTTGCAGGAATCGAATTGAGCAGTGAACATTCCCAGCGAGGTAAAAACAACGGCGATGTCGAGGGTCGAAAGTACTTCGCGACCTCTGTCCCCGGATCTGGTATCTTCGTCCCCATGAACAACAACAAATACGTCACTCGCCGATCTACATCCCACTCTGCCAGCACCATTGCCCCTCCAACCACTCCAGGACGCGCCCCTGTCAATTTCAGCAAATCCATGGGCCCGAGCCTCTCGACGCCCCGCCCACGTATGCGAAGACCTTCCCTCCCTCGCCCCGAATCGCCTCGTGTTGCTCCTCCCAAGCTCAGCCTCGGCGGGCTACGCACCCCATCGGCCGCCTCCAAGGCGTCAAATGGATACCAACGCAGTCCGGTGAAAGCGCCGTCTCGTCTATCTGACCGACCGCCCTCTCGAATTAGCTTGGATGACGATGCCTCGTCTTATGGCGGCAGGCCGTCCGATTACAGTCGAACTTCTCGACCTTCTTCGTCCGAAGCGCTGGGCTTGAAGGAACAAGTGAAGGGCCTAGAGAAGCAGCTGTTGGAGCGTGATAAGCAATTGGACGAGCAATCGAAGACACTAGGTGATTTCCAGAAAATGTTGGAAGAAATGGAGGGCGCGGATAACATGAGCGTTCGCACTCAGCTTCGGGAAAGAAATGAGCGCATCACCCAATTAACGGCCGAATTTGACGGACACCGCGCGGATTTCCGGAGTACGCTTGATACACTTGAGATTGCCGCTTCTGAGACCGAGCGCGTTTACGAGCAGCGTCTGGATGAGCTGATGCAACAAAATAAGGAGTTGCAGGATCGCGGCGAGGACGTGGAGATCGTTGCACAACAGCTGAAACAGCTAGAGGAATTGGTTTCGGAACTAGAGGAGGGCCTAGAGGATGCAAGGCGAGGAGAGGCCGAAGCAAGGGCCGAGGTCGAGTTCCTTCGAGGCGAAGTCGAGAGAACGAAGCTGGAACTCAAGAAAGAGAAAGACAACTCGGTCGCGGCGCTTAAAGATGCGCACGCTGCTTCGGATGGGCCTCACTCTCACGGCTCTCACGAGTTGGATCAAAAGGATGACGAAATTCGAGGTCTCAAGGCCATTATTCATTCGTTGAGCCGCGGCGGTCCCAATCCCGCGGATATGGGCGAGAACGGCCATGCCAACGCCCACAATGATCAGGCTGAGCAGCTCTCCGAGCTGGAGAAGCAATTGAAGGAAATTGAGGGAACCTTCCAGGGCAAGGATCATCGCATCGAAGAGCTGGAGCGAGAACTGCAGGAACTCCGCATGAGCGCGACCAACGGAGGACGTAATCGCAGTTCCACCATCACCCTTTCTCCTTCGAAACAACACAAGCCAACTAGCTCTTCTGGTAGCATTCCGCCAATCAGTACCAATCAAATCCATCGTCTATCTGACCGCACTGTGGTCCCAACCGACTGGCACGATGCCCCCGCCAACCCCAGCGAAGCTCGCCATCACCATCGTGGCGCATCCAGCTCTTCCCAACCGCGCCTTGAACCGATGCCGGAATCCGAACGCTCTTCTGACGACGATTCGCAGTGGTGTGAGATTTGTGAGACTGGTGGACACGATATTCTAAACTGCACCAGTATGTTCGGCTCCAAAAATACCGAGCAACCGAAGCCCGCACCAGTCGCTGCTGAACAAGCCCCGGTAGAAAAGCCAACCGATGACCATGTGGCTTCGAACCATGGGGAATTGGACAGCAATACGGAATCCGGTTCTCACCAGAAGACCGGCCGTGATGTTGTCCTCGAGGGTCTCAAGAATATCGGCGGCCTAGGATCATCTATGGCCCCGGCGGCCGGCAAGTCATCGGGCGTTATTGATGAGTCCAAGTGGTGTGCTCTTTGTGAGCGAGACGGTCATGAGAGCATCGATTGCCCTTTTGATGAATAATGTTCCATGGTGAATATATGAGATGATGGCAATCGAGATGGAGACGAACCCGATTGCTTTTGCCCCGAACCCCTTCTAGTACATGGTCCTTTCTTTTTTTTCATATTTACTTCGTCCCCCTTCTTTTTTGCACACCTGCATGAGATCCGATCTGGCTCCAGTCCCCTCGTTTGATGATCACGCTTGTGCTTTCAACTTTCTCTTTTACTCATATTTCACCCCCGTGTATTATTCCCTTGATCATTTCGGCTTCTCACTCATTCTTTCTCAACTGTTGTTAACACCCTTCACCTTCTCTTCGCGGTTTGATATATCAGACCTGACCCTTGCGGGTCAATTTTCTTTTCTTCTCTTGTTTCCATCTTCTTGCTTCCATTTCATCCGATTGCCATCCCATCCATCCTACCTTGAGCTGGCGAGCAGGCCACAACTAATCGACCATGTACTACATGGCTTGAGAACCAGAAATCCGGACCAAGGTCCGTATCTTACTGGTCTCTCTAGACTTGAGCTAGAACCCTGTTAATACAAAATCTAATTTTGATCCTACTCTGTAAATGGATGTACACAAGCAGCGCTCTGCTTCCATGAAAGTCCAAGCCCCGTACTTCCCAGCTAATTTGAACATGCAATCGCAATCAAACATTGCAATGTCATCAAAAGAAATGCTGAATTCATCACTCATCTCATAATACACCTCATGAACTCGTCATACAATATCTTCAAGAAATACATAATACCGCTGTAGTCCCCCTCCTCCGAGAGAAGAAGGAAAAGAGTAGATATCGCCAGAAATAACTCTAACCCCCCTCACAAAGCCACTCATTCCGACCTTACACAGGCTGCACAATCTCACCATCAGCATACTTCGTCGCCGCAATCTCCCCACAACCCGCACACCTCCTCTTCACCTCATCAGCGCCAAACTCCTCAACAACAGCCTTAACCTGCGTCCCCAAATCCGTACAAACAAAACTCTTCTCCCACACCACCGCCCCACAACCCCGACAATACCACCGCATTTTATCGACCGCGCCCTCTGCCCGCGGCTGCTCCATCACCACGCCAACCGTGTCCTTGAATCGCACCGGGCAGTGTGGCGTGTTGGCCGGCAAAAGGAATATAGAGCCCTCGTGGATTGGGATGTCTTGGAATGTGGGCGGTGTGGTGGAAGCATCGACTGTTTTGAGGAGCATTGAGCCCCGGTATTGGTAGAAGAATTCGGGGGTTGTGTTGATGTGGTAGTCTGTTCTGGCGTTGGGTCCGCCGACAATCATTACGGTGTAGCCGGCTGTGGTGGGGTTTGAGGGGTGGTAGACGCAGTAGTTGTTTACTGGGGGTTGGAGGAGGTGCGAGTTTTCTTCTAGCCTGCGTTGATGCGTTAGTTGGGGTCCATTTCTTGGTGTTGTCGCATTCTCAAGGGTGACCCCGCGATAGCCGCGGGGGGAGGGGAAGATAATATTGCGCCGGTGGGGTGATAAGCGTACCATTTTGGGATGTTGAGGGCTGGTGGTAACATTTTGCTGGTGGTGGTATTTGGATAGCCCGGATATTGGCTTTTTTTTTCTTCGGGGATATGTCAGTGGGAGGTGAGAGTGTCGCGTGCGGTTGGATGAAACTTGAAGATAACTTGGAGAGCTCACCGAGATCGGGCCGGGAGCTCCCATTCCCAGGGTCCAGATGACGGATGATTATTAAAGTGGGTACGATTAGATTATCAATCAAGTATAAGGTGTTTTGACACTTTCGAGTCCTCCATACTTAGTACCATTTTTTCTCTACTGGTATATGATTTGCGTGCTGCTCTATCCCTCACCACTGTCCCTTGTGGCCCTAATAGTTGACTTTAACATTATAGAAAGCAAACTTGAAGACGGCTTATACGGACAATTGCGGTTCGGGTATATCTACTTCTCTGAGAATTCCAGGACTAAACATTCATATCCATAACTCGAAGTTTCACTGCAAAGGTCATGCTGATTATATTTTTCAACTAACCTTGGAGTCAACTACGACTTTCCAATATGGCCGCATTATGGCCATCACTCCTGCACACGTCACGTGGCGGCTATTGCCAGCGAGGTTATTTACGAGCTCAGCCTCAAGAAACTGGAGTCATCATTAAAACTTGAATTCCTCGGGTCTTACACAAGATCCACGTCCAAGAAATAATACCAAGGACGTGAGTCCGAGGGCTGCTTTTGTCAGAGATGATAGGGTAATGATCGAAGGAGATCGAATTCCGGCGAATACAGACAAGCAATGGGTCAAATTGCACACCGAGACTGATTCAAAGGGCTCAGAAACACTTCGTCCAAGAAATTGGACCAGAGATATGATTCCTACTATTGTTGTTAACGACTATGATGCGATTCCTGCTACTGTTGTGAAAGACTACGGAAACTTCAACTCCCCAATACCGGTCCAGGTATAATTTCCAGCCTCCTGGCATAGTGAAGGTACGGTCCCGATCGTTACCAGAGGACGGAACTCTCTTCCCGCCAAGGATACTCCATACCCAGGTGTTCACTCGATTATTGCGCTTGGTTATCCTTTCGAAGAAGAAGTAAGTAATCTAAATCTAAATCGCCTCAGGGCACGAATCTATAAATGGGCTGCTGATTGATAGACAGGAAGATGGGAAGGAACTAATCTTTGAAGCTCTGTCCGATAAGTGTATCGACGAGCTGAGGCAAGTCAGCGACTTTTACGACAACAAAGAAGCCATCGAAATGGGGCTATATGAAGAGTTTGAGAAGTGAAAACAAGCCAACGAGTGGAGGAAACAAGCCGAGAAGGCGGGCTGGCTAGATAGAATCTCGGGCTGGTTCAACGAAAGCTAAAGAATCATACATGCTGTTTAGCAGAGTCGCTGCCAGGCGATCTTGACGCTCTGTGAATACAATGTGATGGTATAGTTTGCGGTTTCAAGCTTCGTCGTTCGTCCGCTGGCAACAGGATTTACGAGTCAGATGAGCCGGTGCTTAAAAGAAAAATTATAGATAGCACATCCCAAACATATAATTGAATTGATTTTTTAGATGGAAGTAATCAATCATCATCTATATGTGCCTTCTAGGGTATGGTGGGATCTGATGACGGAGATAAGCGATCGGACTTATCCCGATGCGTCGGACCGGAACAACCTACCCGCCGGATTTTTTTTCGAGCTCCGCCTTTCCTTCGCGGCGCAAAGTCGATCTCGAAATAAAGATAGAAATAGCCCACCACCAAAATGGCGACAACGCAACAGCCCCCACTGCGATTTACATCGCATCACAACCTGCTCAACCGTCTGGTTCTATCGACCCTCACTGGCCGAACCGTGCACATCTCCCAAATCCGCTCGTCCTCGCCCACGAACCCCGGTCTGGCACCGCATGAGATTTCTTTCCTGCGTCTCCTGGAAGCCGTCACCAATGGCACACAAATGGAAATTTCCTACACGGGTACAATCCTGGTGTATAAGCCCGGTCTGATCACTGGTAGCTCGACCGCCTCCGGTGCGAGTGGAACTGGTAACAGTGCCGCCGGTGGCTTCATTCGACAAGAACTTCCTTCCAACTGCACCCGCGGTCTGAGCTACTACCTGATTCCGCTCTGCCTGCTCGCGCCTTTCGCCAAGTCTCCGATGAAGGTGCTTTTCACCGGTCCCGGTGTCATCACTTCCTCCACCCCGACGGGTGATATGTCCGTCGACAGCGTTCGAACCGCCATCCTCCCGCTTTACAACCAATTCGGCATGTTCAACAATGTCGAGCTCCGCATTTTGCGCAGGTCTAACCCCGGTCCTAATGGACGGGGTGGTGGCGGTGAGGTTCAATTCGTCTTTGGTCATCAGGTCCGCTTGCCCAAGACTCTGCACTTGATGAACCCCGGCCGTATAAAGCGCATCCGCGGTGTCGCATACTCTGTCGGTGTGTCGGGATCCAATAACGCTCGCATGATCGAGGTTGCCCGTGGTATTCTCAACCCTCTGAGCCCGGATACTTATATCTTCTCCGACGTCGCGTCTGCGCCGCTGCTGCCGGCCCCGGATAAGAACAACCCCAACGCTAAGAGAAAGATCGGTCTCGGATTCGGCCTTTCATTGGTCGCCGAGTCTTCGACCGGTTGTCTCTTCTCGGCGGATGTCGCCTCTCCTCCCTCTGGAGGCGAGCCTCCCGAGGATATCGGAAAGAAGTGTGCTTACCAGCTCCTGGAAAACGTCTCCAAGGGCGGCTGTGTGGCTCCCGCAGCCGCAAGCACTATGCTGACCCTCATGACCATGGGCTCGGAGGATGTTGGCCGTCTGCAGATCGGCCGTGAGGTCATCGCCGACCCTAGTGTCATCCAACTTGCTCGCGATCTGTCCAAGTTTGGCACGCCCGGGTGGGGAATTCGGGACGCAGCGGGCGAGAATGAGAACGGCGATTTGATTGTCAGTGTGGTGGGCCGTGGAATTGGTAACATCGGCCGAAAGGTGGCATAGGTCTACCTCTACTCCTCTGCTTTCTGCTTCTGTGCTCTGGTCTCTAAAAGTTCTTGTTCTTCGAACCTACATATCATGATACCCGATGTCTCTCTCCGGGGTTTCCTTTTCTTCTGTGGAGGGAGCCTACTCTTTGCATGTATTGCATCGCATCTTTTTTTCTCTTTTGGCTGGTCAAAATGGGGCGTTCCGAGTGTATAGTAGTACTAGGCAAAAAAATGTTGATACGAATTCTTCCATGATCAATTGTTGAGTATTGGTGTGTTGATGTCTTGGGCAGTAGAGGGTCAGGCTGTCGGGCTAATGTGTCCTTGATTAATTAAGTTATCCATTCACAGTCCTCGCTGTGTTGCCAAATTCCTGGTCCTATAGTAGTAAAAGGCCTATATAGAAGCTCCGCGGTTTGCCCTAAGTGGCACCTGCCGTATCAAAATGACAAACGTCAATAATGTCAACAACATCAACACACGTGATGTTTGTTGATATTTATATACGGAAGGTACCATTTTCCATGGGATTCGGCCTCTAAAGGAAGGAGCTCATGAGAGGCCTCCAGTCCCCTTAAATACCAGCACTTCCCCCGATTTCTGTCCTCTTTTTCTTACCTTCTTCATCTCTCGCCTCCTGCTGCGGAGGCGAACTAATCCTCCCCAGTTGGCATTTTTTCATGTTTTCCATGAAGTTCCAGATCCGATGTACCGGTTCTGCCGTTATTTATATCATATATCTCACATCGACAGCCATTCGCGATATTCATGTTCATCCACCTTCATACAATTTCGAAAAATTTCGACTTTCCTGTACATGTTCCGTGATGTCCGCGAGTCTTGGCTGTTTGCTCATAGCTCGCATCCTTTTTTGGTGACTTTGTTTTCTAATCTCGGAACTTTTTATCGAACTCTGGCTTGAGATACTACCCTCCCACCTTCTTCATTTTTCTGCGCTTGCGCTGAGTTCAAGTTGGGGGAAATTCCCTCCCTCTTCTTCATTTTCTGCGGTTGCGTTTGGTTGAGATATATACCCTCCCGAACTTTGATCATTTTCTGCGATCGCGCTGGACTGTGAGATATTTAACCCTCCCTCCTTCTTCATTTTCCTGCAATCACCAGATCTGCGTTATTTGGAGGGATACACCCTCCCTCTTCTTCATTTCTCTGCGATCGCGCTGGACTGTGAGGTAAAAAGCCTCCTCAACTTCTTCATGTTTCTACGCTTGTCTCGAGTTATATTACAGAGATAACCGGTATTGCCTTTCACGTCGGAATCACGGAGATCCTATTCCATCTTCTAATCACCTGAAAGGCCAAGCTTAATGGGGGTAGAGTGTAGATAACGAGATCTGTATTGATAATGTATTAATATCGGACGTTTTATGATACCAGTATGAAATATATGGAACTTACGTGATCGCAAATCAGCACCCTTTCCCATTCAATCTCCCTCTGTCATGAAAAGAGGCTAGTGAAGAGTAATCATGCACAACGATAATGTCCATTACATCCTAGGGGCGCCTGGCTCTGGGAAAACGGCCATCGTGCCATATCTTCGCAGATACCTTCCCGGGTGGATTGTTATCGACTGGGATGAACTGATGGTTCCGGCAGAAAGACTGGCCGGACGTTCGATTCGCGACAATGAACCTCTTTGGAAACCCTACGAGGATCTTATAAAGTCAGTGTCGGACATGCTCGCCCCGAATCCTGTACTTTTACTCGGGGTCTGTACACCCGCTCAGCTGGCGAGCTGGCATATTCGCGAATGGATAGTTCTTGACTGTCATGACCGGGAGCGTGCTGCGCGCCTTCAGCGACGGGCTGAATCGAACGAAGAAACCCAGGAGGCTATCTGCGATGCTGCACAGTATCGTGCACTTGGCTTGAGGATAGTTGATGGAACAAACCTCACTCCTCAGGAAACAGCGCAGGCTATCGCTAGCAATATTCACGTGCAATAGCAATCTCATTTCCACAAACACCTTGAATCGAACAGCATTGCTGGCGGGAATTAGGGAGGCTGGTGTCATGGAAAAGTCAGTTTTGGTTTATCTCCGCAGCAACCAGCGGGGTTTGCTGGATATGATTTTCGACCAAATGGTCGTCACAAGTGGTGGGTGACGCTGGGATCTGGAGGTTTAACATGGCGATTACGCGGGCGGGGCTCGACGGTGTCTATGTACGTGCGCTTCTACGGCTGGGATCGAGGCGATTTTGAGGCTCTAGTTGGATTGAAATCTTGGTGAACTTGGCTTATTTTCGAGGCTGTTGGGACGCCTGACTTCTGGACAGCAGAGGAGCTGGTTTAAATTTCGGAACTTTGGCAGTACACGAGCGTATATATGACTCCGCAAAATACGCGTTCTGCTCAGTACGATTCAAATTGAATACATACAAATCTCAAGTTACACTGCTAACTTATCTGGAGGATGGTATCATTCGGAAAAGTACCTCATATATTTCTGAAATAGAAGGCAATTGCGGTCGGCTGTGTACCCTCCCCTCTTCTTCAGATCCTTTTCTCTGATCTATCATGGCAAGATTCCTCACCATGTTCGCTCGATATCTCAAGATTTTGGACTTCTCAACACAGACACTCTCGAGGCTTCTTCCCCATTCCTATCTGGCAGTAGTTTTCTAGTTTCCCAGTCTACCTTCGATTTCCCGGGCTTCCAATTTCCCCGCGCGAAATCGAGATTTACTCAAAAAATTTATCAAGATTTGTCAGGATTTATTACTAGTTCCCTCTCCAGATCTTCAGCTTGGCTGGCCTTAGAAGTTGCATACTCGGAAAGCGACCTTGGGAATCTTGTGACTCTTACTCTTTCTCGGATATTTTCAAACATATTTTTACTTGTATGAATGTTTCACATATCACTATTTTGCGGCACAATAATTCTCTTCAAAGACATTTCCCTGACGACAAGCTTCCACCTCAACGTGGTGTCAGGGTCTAGTAATCCCGCTAGCTTCAGCTGGCGGGATGAAGCCAAGAGAAGCTTCCTTCGTAGTCGTAATCGATCGCTCCTTGATCCTTTCCATAGCGAGATTGAAACAGGTCATTTTACTTGAGACTGGGTGAAGTAAATTCCACAACTCTCCATCGTAGTACGACTCGGACCGGACTTGAATAGTAGAAAACTTGAATGGAACATGGATGTGTTCTAGAAGCTAGAATGGTTTTGATTCTATGTCTATCTTTCTATCGGATATGCAAGCCTCGGATATGCAAGTCAGTGTCCGAGAAACTGAAAATAATAGCAAGGGTTTGAAACGCTCGAACGCCGGTCATGTGTGTATGTCCCATGCAGTCTTGAAGCAAAAACGAATGTGCAACGCCATGATGAAAAGACGAAAGGCTGGACAAGAATGAAATGAAAAGAAAGAAGCAATGTGCAGAGTGAAAGCTCAAGCGAGCAAGAAAAGAAAAGAACCAAAGGTCCAAAAATGTGCAACGAAGCGTCAAAAGCAAAGAAGAAAATCGACCCGAAAACAATCATAACCGAGTATAATCCATGGATCCATCAACTTGAACAGGACAATCACTCCGAAACATCCTCATCCTTGCCAGGATACATAATATCGCCCCTAAAAACCGCCCGAACATGACTCACAAAAACAAAAACCCACATAAGAACAATACAAATCGACATCGCAGACCCAAAGCCCTGGATCCCCTTACTAGCAAACGAGTTCCCCAACGTGATAGTCGCAATAGTGAAGCCCGTATTGGGAAAAACCATCGCCCACCAAGAAAGATGGAACGCAGTCGGCGGCGCCCTGACAACGGCAATAAGCGCAATGGCAAAGAACCACAGACTCAACGCCCAAAGAAACGAGCCCGCGGCCAGAGCGAGGATTTCCAGCGTTCGCCCGTCCTCGGCTGTGTCCATGCTGCCCATGACGCTGAATTCGGTGGGGAGGCCGCGTGCCATGCCGACGAGGGCGAGGGCTGTGAAGGCGGGTGGGCCGACGCAGATGAACATTCCTGGTCTGTGTTCGCGGTGGGGCAGGCCTGATTCCATTAGGCGGCCGATGTAGTGGGCGTACATCATGAAGCTGAGGCAGAAGCCCAGGCCTTGGAAGGTCATGCCGGCTGTGACGATTGGGATGGCGGCGCGGGCGGGTTGACGGTCTGCGATTACGGAGGCGATTGTTCCGCTTAGCATTATTGGGAAGGCGGGGAGGACCCAGGAGGGCATCATTGTTTGGAGGCGGTATGTGTGGGATGTGAAGAGGAAGCTGTATTGGAGAGTGGCGACGGCGAAGGTGCAGACGCAGTAGAGCCAGAAGAGGACTTCTAGGGTTGTTGAGAAGGAGGGTGCTGGATCGTTGCCGAAGTATTTTTCCAGTCCGGTGATGAGTGTTGCGATTGAGAGCCAGAATGTTGGGAAGAAGAGGCCCTCGCGGTCGTGTTTGAGAGATTGCATGAAGCCGCCGTGGATGAGGAAGCGGGCTGCCATTAGGGTGCAAACCAGGGCGAAGAGGATGAGGTTGAAGAGGTAGATTGCTATTCCTATTTCGTCGAGGCCTTTGAAGCGGTTGGGTTGGACGGCTATGAGGAGGGCTAGGCCGCCTGTGCTCATTGTTAGGGTGTACCATGCCCAGGTGAAATGGCGGAGACGCTGGCGGAAGCTCAGGTGGATGTGCTTGTTGAAGTCGGAGGACTTTTCTTCTGAGCCATTGAGGATTGGTGTGTCGGAGTGGTTGGAGTGGGAGGAGTGTGGTGGGAGCTCGTAGGCCTCGACACCGAGAAGACCTGGTTGAGACATCGTGATGATGTTATTGTGGAAGTGTGATCCAATTCAATTGGATATACTGGGGAGGAGATGCAGAGACAGTGTAGAAGTATATGAAATGAAAGATCTGGATCTGGATCTGGACTAGGATGTAGAGAATGTCCTTTATAGATCTGGGATGTAAACAAGCAAAAAAGAAATAATGCAATAGTATAATGCAATAGTAGAGAACTGGAGAAAGGAGATAGATGCAATGAAGATATAGATGCAATTGAATAATCTCCCGAGGAAAGGCGAGTCAACTCGAGGTTTATGAACCTCCGCCGCAACAGCAACACATGGCCAGGTAACCACCACTGATTCATTCTTTCATCAATCCTCTTCGAGGATCCACGGCCAAGAAAAAACCAAGACCTCCGCGCTACCTGGGATTGAAATGATGAGAGCAAGGAAGGGCTCTCCTGAAAAGCATCGTGGCAAACGGACCTACCAGCGTCAACACAGTTATCAGGACCCATCGAAGCCGCGACGGAACCAAGAAATCGCCAGTAGATCGGCCCAGTCCGTCGGGCTCGGCGGGAGTCACTATTAGCGTATCCCGCGTCTGTTGCTGCATCTGAGGCATCGTCAGGGGGGGAGGATGAGGCGCAGGGGAGTCGTGATTGACACCCGACGATCCACTCAAGTCTGGGCAAGGGTTAATAGCGCCCGATGGCATACTCTGTACTCCGTCTGAGCCCGGGATAAACTCAAGAAACATCGATGCCTATGCCGGGAAAGCGTTCATCACTGCCAGATCACCGCCAAGAGGTAGGAGGGTCTGTACTGCAGAATGGAGTCAGAGGCTCGAGAACCCTGTGTAAAAGCGGTGGCTCTGTACGAGGCTGTGAGTCCTTGGAGGTCAGAAATGATGAGATCCTTGAAGAGAGGCGAAGGTAAATGTATCGAAACATCCGATTGGAGATGCATTGAATGAATCCTGGTCTGCTGGTCAGTCGTCAGATTGAGAAGGTTACCCAGATGATGTATGGAAGCCCGTTACTCGGGCCGATAATTTCATAATTCAGGATAAATCATGTCTATGACCGAGACCGTTTCACCCGGACTTCAGAACAGTGATTGATTGGACTGAAATGTTGAACCTGTGCAACGTGCGTACATCGTCGCCACGCCAAGAACAATGATCGACGACGCATTCTTGATGGGATGGACCGCTGCCAAGCTTTTGTGGCAGTGAAAGACGACGGAAAAAAGGGGTGAAAAGTGTAAAGACTTCAAGGCAACGATGGTTAGAGGAGAGTTGAAGCAGAAGTGGGGACGGCAGTTTCGATAGATCTCATTTACTGCCCAGTGCCAACCCCTGAGACTCCGCCCTTATCATTGCATTTTTCACAGCCTCCTGCACTATTGAGTGTATGTCGTATGCGCCAAGAGACCTGGCTGGATTTTGGTCGATCGCATGGCGCTTTCATGCTGATTTTTGAGAGATGCGAATTGGGTGTTTGACCTGCCAAGATGCCCAGCTTGCTGGTTGCGCACTCGGTGGATCTGTTGATCTGCGTCTCGCTTGACCTGCTGTATTCCCTTGCACTGCATTGTTCTATCTATAGTGATAAGGTACTGGGGCTGTCACCTTTCTTTTGGTTCTAAGCCCCGGAAAATCTTGTTGACTACGGAGTAGGGAGTACGGAATATGCGGAGTATAGTTATGGAGTACTCCGTATCCCATACTAACTCCTCCCACTAGTTATGGAGGACGTATACGGAGTACAGTTTAAACTGATCATTCATCTTCAGGAGAACTTGAACTAAACAAACTCAAGCCCACCGCCAAGACCCCAAAATCAATGTCCAAATATGCGCCTCAATTTGACAAATAATCATTCCCAGTTCTAAGCGGGTCTCTCGGCACTGTCGCAATGCAGAAAACTAAAAACATATCACAGGCAAAGAAAAAAGAGAACAAACATCTCAATGAAACAAGTTATGCAAAATCCACCCTAGGGCTTCCAAGAAACCCCTCCCCTCCCCCAATCACACCCCACCACTCAACTCACATCATGCGATAGACAAGATCAGAGGCCAGCTCCGGCGTCATATCCAGCAACGACCGCAGACTCTTCGGCGCACCCTCATCACCCCGCTCCACTCGCACATCAACCGGTCGCAACGAAGGCGTGGCCACCTCACTATCACCGGGTGAATGATATCGCGCCAGTACCTTGACCTTGCAGGCCGCATAATGCACGACCAATCGCCGCAGCTCGTTCTCCCGAAGCTGCGTCGCCGAGGTCGGTGATATCGGCTCGAGACGAGTCGTCTTGGTATAAGTGTACCGGATCAAGTCCAGCACCACCGGCGCCTGCCGCGCAGCCAAGCCGCCGAGAACTGCGCGATCCGGGTACGGCTGATACTGCTGGTACTGGCACTGGTACGGATCCATCACGTCTGCGTCTGCAAAGGTGAGGTGCACCAGGTCGCGGTGCAGTTTCCGCAGGCAAAGCTGCGCTAGAGCGGGGATTAGGTAGCGCGTGGCGAAGACGTAGACTTTCGCGTGGAAGGTTAGGTATGGGAGGTCGGTGGGGTTGTAATTGTCATTGCTGTTTACGTTCACGTTCACATTCACGTTCAGGGTGACTTGGTGCTCGTCGTTGTATCGCAATGTTGCGAATTCGTCCCATAGACTCATGCCTGGTGTCCGAGGTGTTGCGTCTGGCTGCTTGGCAAAGGACATGTCGATCACTGGCTTTGGCGGATCAATTGGCTCGTTGGTAGCGGGTTGGGTTTGATCTTCTTCTCTGAGCGAGGCCCAGCCCTCGTTGGCTTGTTGCTCATCGCCATTGGAGGCCTCCCATTCTTCCTGTGGGGGTGTTGCGGATTGTGTTGCAGTCTCGGGCACCGGTTCTAGATCTTGTTCAGCAGGAGGCTTGTGCTCTGCATGCTCTGGTTCTGCAGGAGAGGCTTCTGCAGGAGAAGTTTCTGCAGTTTCCTCCGATGATGATGTAATTTCGGTTGGCTGTTCGGCAACAGGTTCGGGTTCGATGGGCTCGACGGGGTTGACGGGCTCCGCGGGCTCCTCTGTTGCTTTGTCGAGTGACAACTCATGCATATCCACTGGATTTGTCGGAGGTGTGGTGGGTGGTGTCAGGTTTGCGGGAACATCTTCTTGCGCTGGGGGTTGGCTCTTCTTCTTCTTTTTGTCCTTCTTCTTTCCTTTCTTTCCCTTTGCTTCACCGTTATCCTCTGGCGTGTTGTCCTCCGTAGGCCAGGATGTCAAGTCGTCGGTCTCCTTCGCAGGCTCAGATTCTGCCTGCTCATCCGCTTCTGGGAGAGGAGACAAGCCAGCCTCGGCCTCATCCTGCTGAGTCTTGTCGAGTTGATCGTCCTTATTTTCCGTGGGTTCCTCCACAGATTCCACGGGCGTCTTGTCTTCCTCCACTACCCCAGTCTCAGCTTCGCCTTCGGCTCCAGCTCCAGTTTCTACTTCGGCTTCAGCTTCAGGAGGAGCCTCTGCGGTAACCTCGGCAGCAGAGCCATCTGCAATCACTGACTCTGGCTCTGGTTGAGGTTGAGGTTGAGGTTGAGGTTGAGGTGCGACTTCAGTCTCGGCCCTTGGCTGACTATTATTAACAAACTCAGGCGGTGGCGACGGGGCAGGCGGCGGTACAGCGGACGACATTGAGCTGGAGCGATACGTGCCTCTCCACGAGTTGACGGGACTATGCACGCTCTCAGCGACGCTGACGCGGTGCTCTCTCGGCACCGGCGCCTGCGGTACCTTGTAGTCCCCCGTATAAGCATATTCGCAGAAAGCGACAAAGGTCTCAACATCCTCTTCCTCCAGGACGGCTATCCGGTGTCTAGATTCCCTGGTATGCCCATTGTTCATGAGATTATGCAGTGGTTTCGAGACATGTTGGGCTAGCGCCGATTGGATCGTTAGCTTCGTGTGTCGTGGGCCGACTAGAAAGGTAAATGAAGGCGAGTGGATGATGCTGTAGTTGGGGAGACGATTGGTCGGGTCAGCGCTGTTCGTTTCTGGGGTGGAGGTGGGTTGAGGGATTCTCAGCACACACCTACTATAGTCGGGAGGGTCCATGGGATGAATTTGAAGTTGAGTATGGGTCCGAGTCTTCAAGTTTATTTGGCTTGTCCTCTAGGCACGTTGACGTCGAGCAGTTCAGTTCACTGGCAGTTCGGTCTTCGCTTTTGCTTCGGCCTTAGATTTTCAAGTGAGATATTCAAAATACCCCTGTTGAATCAAGCTCCGTGCTGTCTATGGAATCTCCCCCGTTGCTTAAATATATTCATGGCCTTGGGCCAAGTCACACGGGGTACCAAGTTTACCCTCGGGCACAGCAAGCGACCCAGATAGCACGACTAGTCTGCTACGTGTGCATCGCTGATGGGTGTGGGTAAGGGCAAAGCTATCGACGCCAACGCCTCGTGCAGACCGACTCGGACCCTCCGAGGAATATCAAAGAGGGATTCTGTCATCCTCGCGAGGTCAGGCGAGTGTTGCTATTCACAAATGAAGCCCCGGGGAAGCGCGCGACGCGGAACGTTCATGGCATCTGTTTCCATCGCCCTGCATGCTGCTGCATTCAAAAGTGCCGAGTGGAAACTTCGTGGTCGGGGGCCATTCGATCGACTGAGATGCTGAGCTGGTGCGAGACTGGAGAGGGTTCATGCCCAATCCCTAGCCTGCTGAAGACCCAATGAGTGGGCCTTGTTGACCGTAGCGTGGAGATTTGTGGATTGCTTCACTTTTTTGGGCCCTTTTTCTGCTTTCTTTGAGTCTTTGCCTTGCCTTGCGGAAGCGTGGCGGGTGATGTTGTTTTGGTCGAGTTGGCCATGCTCTCATTTTAGGTGGGTGGAAAAGGGTGGCAGGTGGAGAAGTTGAGTTGAACTTGGTAGAAGTAGATGGGCATGGGCATGTACTAGGTCATGTGGAATATTGCCCAAATATTTGAACTTGCTCATTTTCTTCGAATCATAAAATTACTTTCCGATAAATCGAGTATAAAGGTACAACAGCTAGCATACATACATATGCCCGTCCCCGCTAGCCAAGATAACAGCCCTACGACTCGGCCCAGCAACATCATTACATTACACTACGACAGTAGCGAGACCCGACCAGAATGAAGAGGGGAATATCATGACGTCTATGTAAACACATATCAAAGCTCTGCAAAATCATACATACAATACATTCCACCTTCTAGTGACGAGTAACGAGTAACCCCCAGCTCATACCAACTCACTGACCATGCACAAGACGAATCTGCGTACTACCAGGCTCCCACTCCCGCAAGCCCTCACCAACACTATACCAGAATCGCAAACGAATACACTCCATCCTAGCACCCTCAATATCTCCCTTGTCAAATGCCCCCGATAAAGCCCCCACGCAAACCATAATCCGCATATCATTCTCCTGCTTCAGCGCCTCAATCTCCGCTTCCGCCTCCGGGCTCGCGCCCACCTCCTCAATAGTCTCCTGCACTTCCATGACCTCCATCAAAGTCTGCGGGTCGAGCGCGTGCTTCGTCGCGCCGTCTTCGGCTGTCACATCGATGCCATGCCATTCGCGGAGGAGGTACTGCGCGCGCAGGAGCGGGTCGGCGAGGGTGCGGTACGCCTCGTTGATGCGGGCGGAGAGGGCTTCGGCGTGCTGTTTTACGTCGCCGGAGGGGTATTTGTCTGGGTGGATCAGGCCTTGGAGTTGGAGGAATTCGCGGCGGAGATCGGTGATGGAGATCTCGAAGGGGGAGGATGGGGGTGGGCCGGATGGAATTGAGCGCGGGAAGATCGTGTAGTAGTTTGTTATATCTGGGGCGCCGGCTAGAGATGATTCGCCGGCTGCTGTGTCGATGCCGGACTTTGTAGATGCGAATCGGGAATAAAGTGAAGGCGAGACTGTTGGGGTAGATGGTTGTGGTCGAGTTGGGGCTGTTTGGCTTTGAGCGGGTTGTCCGCGGTGTTGATAGAGCGTGCAGGCATTTCGCTGGATTGTGCGGGAAATTCCTGATCGAGAGGATTGTGCGGTTAGGTTGGAGACCGCTGGTCGGCTTAGATTTCGCAGGCTTTGCGCGCGGAACGCCATGGTGGGATATTATGCGAAGAGGTCGAGTCAAAGAAGGAAAGAAGGTCTAAATTGACTCCGCAGAAAAGAAGCGTTCGCCGCGGAGGAAACCTACTTTTACGTCATCCCCGCATTCAGTGCACGTGACATCGTAGTAGACAACTACAAAGCTTTACTTTTTACTTCAGGCGAGTCATTTATTGATGTAATTTATTAATCCGTTGATATAATGGTGGATTTTAATTTTGGTTCTGCCTCGGAAAAGGAGGTTCGTGGGTATCGCGGCCAAGGCAGACCGGAATGACGAAACGTCGTCCGATGAATTACGGAGCGAACAGGTTCAAGTCAGTGTGGCTGTAGGCGCAGCTGCATATGCAGATCCGGGAAGGTCGATCAAGAATCCAGAGACCAATCACTCAATTCCCCACAGCTTGACAGTCCGATCGTGGCCACAACTTGCGATCCATTTGGCGTCATCACTAACATCAGTACTCAAGACGTTACCTGAGTGACCGCTGAGGCTCTTAACCAGGGACCAGTCATCCGCGCTGAAGATGTTGACATTTTTGTCAAATCCACTGGAAACAAAAAAAGTCCCCGACTTCTTTGGTTGAGGGGCTTCCGGGGTTGCTTCAGCAGGCGGGGCACCATCGATATCCATCTGGCCGTTGGTGTCCGTAGTCGGCAAGTAAGAAGCCCCCCTCAGCTCCCTTATACCAGCGTAGATCAGACACAACACTTTTGTGTGCGCCTATACCACCAGTATTCCGCACCTGGCGCAGATCCCAGCACTTCACCCAGCCATCACCGGCTCCTGAGAGGACCCGGTAGCCATCCACGCCCCAATCCATGGCGAAGATCTCGCGGATATGGCCCTCGAGAACCATCACGGTTCGTCCAGTTCGCAGATCCCAAATACGTCCAATGCTGTCTAATCCACCACTAGCCAGGAGAGACCCGTCATTGTTGAATGACACCGCGTACACCTCTCGCGAATGACCTTCTTGTAGTTGCAGTTCTGTTGTAGTTTCGACATCCCACAGTCGCCAAGTGGTGTCGTAAGAAGCCGATGCAGCATACCGTCCGGAAGGATGGAATTCTGTCCGACAAACACGCCCCGAGTGACCAGAAAGTGTAGCCAAGGGCTGTTCCTGGTCCAACGCCCATAGATTAATGTTACCTTCTCCACCCCCGGATATTAAATTGACCGACGAAGGGGAGACATTCGATTGGGGTAATGTCGCTCCGGGGAACCACGAAAGGCCTCCCACGCGATCTGTATGTCCCTTGAGGGTAGCCTTCTCGTCCAAATTCGGCACGGAGAGCAACTTGATTCCGCCAGCCCAGTTACCCGCCGCGATCGTCTGTCCATCAGGCGCAAATCGACAGATACTCACAGGACGATCTCCAGCAATCTGTGAGCCGTACAAATCAAATCCTTGAAGCTTCTCCTTGATCGCTTTGCGGTGCTTCACGTGTGTGCGGAGGGGGATCGTCGATTCCTCCTTGAGTCTGGCGACACGGGCCTTTGCTCGGGGCAAAGAATAATGCGCGATGGATTTGCGCGCTTTTAATAGCTCGTCCGTGCCTTCTGTATAGAACTCTTCCTGTTGCTCTGCCTCCTCTTCATTCTCGGCTTCCTCCATCTCAATGTCCTCGCCCGCTTGCCTTTCCGAGAGATCGGTCAAGAGCTCGCGCAGACGGTCTCGTCGGTCTCCGGGTCCTTCGCCGAACAGTGTGATGGGCTCGCCGAGCTCTCGTAGCCGTTTGCGCACTCGGGTGTCGTCTGTCGGTACGGCCATTGCGGCTGCTCTGCGTTTGCGCTCGAATTGGGATAGAATCGCGGAGGCCCGCTCGGCGGGGATTCCCGCAGCAGAGGGAGGAAGTTCATAGTCTTGGTCGGTGGCTGTAGTTCTCGCGGTTAGTGATAGATATCGCAGGTGGGAGTTTAGAAGAGACAACTTACGGAGATCGGCAAGGCTAATGCCCATGTCTGTGTCCTGAAGATAGATTAGAAGTCAGCCTTCTGCAGTTTCCAATGCGCTTGGCATATTCTTGCTCAAACAAAATAACCATGCGAGCAATGTGGTGCATGAACGCGCACTAGACTGGAGCTCCAGTGGCAGGATAGTGGCTTACCTGGGCTTCCTCGACATAAGCCTGACGGGATGGGTGCATCATCTTGGCACAAAAGAAGCTGACGCTTCACGTCAGCAGCAACAGCAACAAGGCCTGATCTGAAGTGCTTTGACGGCGAGGGGTGGCGAACTGGGGATTGGGCGGATTGAGGGAAGGTCGCGGCGATGAGGTTGCGGGCGGCAGAAACTAATCAAAGTAAGAAAATTTACCAGGTGCAGCTATACGATGAACACAGCCAAACCTAAGCAGGAGTAAATATGCTACAGTAATCCAGTATATTATAATTCCACCACTCTATTCAGCTCCAACTTCACCAATTCACACACTCTCAATCCCAACTCAACCCTTCATCTAACAATTCCACACGATGACGCGAGGCGGTCAATCGCGATAAGCGGGCTTATCCATTTTATCCGGAGCATTTTGTTCCTTTCTTTACTTTTTATAGGGCTGTCTCTCTTTTTCCCTGTGAACATATATTCCTCTATACATCTCCAGCATCTATATTTGATGCTCCTCTGAGCTTCCCTAGGAAGCCCGACCGTTCTTCCTGCGATGCTTGCGCCAGTCCCCCGGGCCTGCAGTTCCACCTGCAGCCTCCAAGCCCTTCGAGCCGCGCCCAGGACCACCTCATTATGTACAGGCATTCTCTATAACAGAACTAGACCCTCCTTGGTGACTGCGCCTACATCCGCATCATACCCTTCGAGCCTATCCCTACACATTCAGCGCAAATCCTTCCACTCAACGGCCCGAACCAACTCGTCCCAACAATCCCGCATCTCCTATCGGGTTGCCGTCTCTTCATCCGGCAAAGGAAAGCGCTTCCACCCACTCAAAAACGCATATAATTTCGACCCCGCCGCAGACGTCCTCGGCGTCTCAAAGGACAAAAACCCCGTCGCCCGCAGACGCAGCCGCCCAGACAGCGGCGAAGACGCCTTCTTCGTAAGCCGCATCGGCCACGCATCCGGCCCCCCAACATCCCGAGACAAGCCCCATCCCGACGCAGCCGCAGCCGCAGATGCAAATTCAGAAGCCGTCGCCTTCGCCGTCGCAGACGGCGTAGGCGGCTGGACAGAATCCCGCGTCGACCCGGCTGACTTCTCCCACGGCCTATGCGCCTACATGGCCCAGTCAGCCCTATCCTGGACCCAACCGGCCAACGAACTCCGCCCCGAAAACCTCCTCCAAGCAGGCTACGACGCGATCGTCGCCGACCCAGCCGTAAAAGCAGGCGGCAGCACGGCGTCCGTCGGCATCGCGCTGCCGGACGGCCGCGTCGAGCTGGCTAATCTCGGCGACTCGGGTTCGGTGCTTCTCCGGCGGGCGGCGGTGCATACGTACTCTACGCCGCAAACGCATGGCTTCAACACGCCCTACCAGCTGAGCATTATCCCGCCGCGCATGCGCGCGCAGGCGAATATATTCGGCGGGGCGTTTTTGGAAGATTTCCCGCGCGACGCGGCTGTTACAAATGTGACTATGCAGCATGGTGATGTGCTGATGCTTGCTACGGATGGGGTGTTTGATAATTTGAATAATCAGGATATCTTGAAGATTGTTACGAGTCGGATGGTTATGACTGGTGCTTGGACTGCGGAGCCGGGCGAGGGTGTTGGGATTTCGGACTCGCTGCGTGCGCTGACTGTTCCTGGGGGGGCTTGCTGATGCGTTTTCACAGGCGCCGGCGGGTGTGAAGGGGGGCAGGGAGGTGGAGCGCGCCGAGGAGACGCTTACGCTGCAGTCGTTGCTTGCTGCATCGATTTCGGGCGAGGCGAAGGTTGCTAGTGTTGATTTTCGGAGGGATGGGCCTTTTGCTAAGGAGGCGCAGCGCTATTATCCTGGTGATTATTATCGTGGTGGGAAGGTTGATGATATCACTACGTTGATTCTCGTCGCGGTTGATGAGGCTTTGGTTGAGAGCGGCTGATGAAACTAACTTATGACATATACTGTGTGCTTGGACTCGGATGGGTCCTTGTATAACTGCTGCCCTCCGGTATTTCTTTTGTTTCTTTTTTTTATTGCTTCTGTGCATACATGTGGCGCTTGGCTTGGCTTGTGCTTGGTTTATATTTGGGTGTGCATGGTAACTAATCATATGGCCTATATCTGTATTCTTCCCCGCGGCGTGATGTTGATACCTTTATATACAAACTGTTGGTTCGGGGGTTGGCTTTTTTTTTGATACCAGACATGACTGGGTCTTCATTGCGAAATGGTATATAAAAGATAGATTTGGCTGGGCTGGTGGTGAATATCCAATATTCTTTTGCTTGCATACAGTGTCCTCTAGTAATTAAACAGTGATATACTTGCTATTGAATCTTCGAATGACTCGAAATCCACTACCAGTAGTGATTATTGCCCGGGCTTTCTTGACAACTACCTAGGTACTAACTAGTAGACGGGGTAGTACTCAGCCTGAGCTACTACACGCTTGCAGCAACTTGAATAAAAAGAGACGGGCGTCTAAGTAGTCCCCATACAGAAAGCAGCAAGAGATAATTCTGGTTTTTCATTTTATTTGGCATTGGCAGAAACAATTTCGCTGGCTAGATCCAGCTGCAGCTAATCCGACACAGTGCTGCTACACAGTACAAAAAAGAAAACAGGGTCGGTTGCTCGGGGATGCAGATCGTCACAAGAAAAGTTCAGATTGAAAGCATAAGACGCAAAAAAAAGGTACTAGTAAAAGGTACACACACTCCAACCCTATTCAGAACAGACCAGAATAGAACAGAACAGAACAACACAGAACAACAGTCAAACATCGAAGATAGAAACACAGGCTAGACACAGAGGTAGTTGATGCGCACAATTTCACGCTTATGCACTGGCCTCAACCTCGGTCTTCTCCTCGGGCTTTTCTTCGGCTGGGGCAGCATCGGCGCTATCCTTGGGCGCGGACTTCTCGTTTTCGTCCTCGTCCTCGTCCTCGTTCTCCTCCTTGGCGTCTGGCATGGGGGTATCGTCATTAGTGGTCTTTGTCTCGGGCTCTTTCTCTTCCTCGGTCTCCAGTTTGGGGGTATCGGCCGCGTCGTCGTCTTTGGCGGTTCCGTTGGATGTGGGCTTGCTGCCGTCGACTGGGCCATCGGAGTCCAATACGTTCTTCCAGTTGGAGAGAATGTTGATGGCGCGTTCACGGAATTTGAATTCTTCGTCGCGGGGGATTGAGTTCAGTTTCACGATCATCTTGAGAACCTTGTTGATCTTGGTAGAACGGATAATTGACACTTCCAAATCGGAGTGCTTCTCGAGCTTCTCAAAATAGGTGCCCATAGTAGCCATCTCGTCCTCCTTAGGGGGCTGATCACGAGAGATGAAGCCCTTCTGGAGCTTGTGTCGCAGGAAGAGAACTAAATGACTTGTCAGTTCTGTCACAATTGCGGGGAAGGGAGAGATCAATTGAGCAACGTACTCTCCTTCTCCTTCTTTTTCTTTAGCTCTTCGGGGTCGGGTTGCTTCTCAGGCTCCTTTGAAGAGGCCTTCTCTTCATCATCACTAGCGGCAGCCTTGCCCTTTCTAGCGGGCTTCTTCGCCTTACTGGCCGGAGTCTTCTTTCCACTCTCCTCGGCCGCCTTGGGGGTCGTCAACTTGATCTTAGTGGCGGTCTTGGGGGTCTTTGCAGGCTACACGCGTTGATCTGTTAGCAAGTCCAAGTCCATCCCCGTGAGCACAAACCTCCAACCAAACATACCTTCTCGGTCTCGGCATCAGCATCATTCTTGCGCTTCCGCGCAGGTGTCTTGGCCTTCTTGGGTTCCTCCACATCCTCCATCTCCACGTCAGTTTCAGCAGCCTTGCTCTTGCGCTTGCTCTTCTTGTTCTTATCAGCGGTCTTGTCAGCCTTCTCAGCGGCCTTGTCTGCCTTGGCCTTGGCCTTTGCTTCCTTCTCAGCTTCCTTCTTGGCTTCCGCCTCAGCCTCCTCGGCCTCCTCCTTGTCTAGAGCATTCTGGTGCTCCGCAAGCACCTTTTTGTAGTGATCTAAGTCATGGCCTTCGGCAGCAACCGCATATGCCTTAATCAGCCCCTTTGACTTGTTCTTCTCAGAAATGTTCTTGCACTCGGCAACATCAAGTGGGGTCAGATTAGTATTGATAATCCAGGCACTATAAGAAGAAGAAAAAACCAGACCGATTAGCAGCTAGCGCATTCAATTCCCGCCCTCGCTCACTTACAATTCATTTGTGTCGAAGAACATAACCGGAAAAGTGCGCTCGTGAGCCCGCTTCCCATCATCAGCGTAGTCAGCCCGGTACGAGCCATCCTCCTGCGCAGCCGTCACGGGCCGTGTATCAAGAAGCGTCGACGGAAGGATCTCCTCGTCGCAGATAATCGCCGGCCACGGCGCAAATGTCTTCAGTCGCGCGAGGTAGTATTGGCCCGGCTTCGCGTGCAGCTGGGTCACGCGGGTCATAGACTTCTTGCGATTCAGCTTCTTTTCGCCGACGCCGCTGGATCGTCGTCGATCCTTTGAGGTCTTCTTGGGAGATGAAGGGGTTCCGTTGGCCTCTGTTGCAGGCTCGGCGGTTGCGGCGGCTTCGGAGCTGGCGTCGGCCTTGGCTTCCGTCGCGTCGCCAGATGCAGTCGTCTGTTCTGCGGCGGCTGGGGAGCTCTTCTTTTCGTCGGTCACGTTCGCGCTCTCTGGGAAAACAATGGGCGCTGGGTTAGCTAAGGGTGTGTCGCACAGAGGGCAGAGGATGCTGATAGGGTGCGCGAATGGGCGCAGGAGCTCTAGTGGGGGATTGGAAGTTTTTAGGGGATGTTTTGCTTACCGGTGGGCTTGTCGTCGGTGGTTGATGAGTTCTCAGGCGCCTTGTCGGCAGACTCGTCGGTAGGAGGCTGCTCGGTCTTCGCAGTTTCCGGGGGAGCAGCGACGGGGGCGTCTTCGGCCATGATGGGCGCAAAAAGCAGGTAATCAGATATGGAGAGGGGGAAGTAGCTGAATTGGTGAAGGGTGTCGGTTGGAGGAGGAGGAGTGGTGGTAAGGAGATGTGGAGAAGGAAGAGAGTCGCGCGGGAAGAGACGCGTTGGGTCTGCGAACGGGCGAAACCTCCAATGACGCCACAACTCCCGCCCACTGCAACCACAAATCCAATCTGATGTTCCCCTCCCCCCCAGCTGTGATCTTTGCTGCTGTTTGTCGACGCTGTCTAGTGAATCTCAATCTTGAGATATTTAGTGAATTGGTGTGTGGTATGCACCGTCGCAGGACAAAGGGAGGGGGCACAGCGCCGGTTTATGCCCGGAATAGGTTCCACAGTGAAGGAGCTGCTACCTCGGTCATTGCCTTTTCATTCGCCTGATGGTAGTGGCCCTTTTGCAGGCAGATTTGACCCCAAAGGTGAATGGAGAAGGTTATTCACCGAGGAAATTTCCGGCCAATATCTAATCTTGTCAAAGACATACTGTAAGCTAGTCGGGGTTTCCTCTGCAAGGCATGTCAAGCACGACGAGAAAGCTTTACTGATGTAACAAAATAACATGATTGGCTTGGGAGATTGCGCAGACGTAGACTTGGAAGGACAGAGCGAGCTTGGTTCGAGGTGGATGAATATGAATCTGGGTTGTTCTTGTTCTTGTTCTACGGCCTCTCTGCTCTGCTCCGTAAGCACAACCCCACTGCTTCACTATACCTTGAGATACAGAGTACTCTCCTGGTAATTCCATATTGGCTCGCATCTATTCTAGTGATCCAGGATGATCTAATGTCTTGCAAATATTTTCCAGGCGCCTTTCAAAAGCCATGGGTCATGTCCCACCACCTTATATTTCTATCCTGCATAGGTCGGAAGAAGGCCGCGGAAACCATGCATCTTAGTACTCACACTCTCATGTCTTCAGTAGAGTTTCTAGGATACACAGATTGTATTCTCGGTCTTCCTCCACCCTGCGCAGAATATGAAGCTGAAGCTTATATCGTCAACAAAAAGGATATACTGGACCCTTCACTTTTGGCCCTAGTTGGTCGAAAATCAATCATTTGGCGGTTACAGCAAGATGAAAACAGAAGTAAGAATTTGGGGCTCTAAAGAATACTAGGCAAAGAAACACGGGCACAAAGAAAGTGAACTAGTTAACTCCGAGTCATCATGGCACCCGAATCCAGGCCCTGGCCCCGGAAATTAATTATACTGCTCTCACAATGTACATAAACCAAATTTTTCGGTTCTACCGACATTTCCCAACCTGGAGCGGGGTATAATTAAATTCGACTGAAAGAATGCCATTCCACACCAAGTTGGTCTACGGGTGCCGTGTATCCGACTCATCCTCCGAGTCCCAGCCACTCGAACTCGGACTTGAACTATGTGACAATTGCATCCGCGATGGTTCTGGCTTGTCAATTCGAACCAACCAAAGGAAGTAATCTTCAACGGGCAACAGATTTAATAAAACGCCATTCGACCACCACCCGAGGCCGCAAACAAAAGCTCCCGCGATAGCATCGAGGATGAAATGGTTGGCCGTCGAGACGATCGCTACCAAGATTATGAATGGATATATGAATCCGAGGCTTATGCATAATACTCGGCGCCAGGCAGGTAGGCGGAGTCCCAAACGTCCGATGCGTATCCGGATCGTTCGTCGGTGGTGGATGGGGAGCGGGATGGTCATGATGGTGAGACCGATCATCAAAGAATATCCGAAATGCAAAGATGGCATCGCCGCTGGTGATCAACGTATTAGAGAGAGAGACAGAGAGAGAGAGAGATTATTCACGCGAGGTTATTACTTACCGTATTGATTGCAGAAACGATTTTCTGTCCAGACGCTCTTCGCTCCGTTCTCGCCGTGAACCGTATCGACAAAACCATAGCTGCGCCCAAGTTCCGCCTCGGGACCTTCTACTGTTGGATCGCTCAGCAGGCGGGGTGGCATGCAGGGCCACAGGGTGAAGACCACAAACGCGAGGAGATTGCATACTGCCAGCGTACGGCGCCGGGCCTGGTAGAGTAGCGGGCCCGCGGGCGATCCACCGGCAATACCCCGGAGCTTGCCTGGCTGAGGCTCATTAATGCCGTTGCGGGTGATGGTATAGTAGTATAGCCCCACGAGAAAGGCGATTGTGCCGGGGATATGGATGAAGGAGTATAACCAGTTGATCCAAGTCATCAAGAGAGGGTGTCTGAGGAAAAAATGTTGGATCTGAATTTCCCAAAAGATTCCCAGTTTCTCCTCCAGCTTGATTACTTCCAATGCATGTTTGCGGGCGATGTCGACGGTTCCTTCTTTGAGGGTTACGGCGGTGAATGCGCGGCCGAGTTGATATGTCTGTACAAACGATTGTGAGTGCCTATAGTAAATATAAAAAAAGGGGATTAAAGATAGAGCGGAATACAACATACCCAATATACAAGTGCCCAGTACCAACACTCAGCCAGGAACGGCAACTTCCGAAGCAAACGACTAAGAAGACGGTCTTGAAACACGGCTGTATTCGGCGAGGTCACACTGCAGGACAAACCAAAGATCTTAATCATTCGTTTGTGCCAGCGATCATCTGGTTGCAGCGGTGAAGAAGCTCGGTGGGTCAAGAGACTATCTTTGGGAGTTGGTGAAGTATAACCTGACTCGAGGGAATCAGGGGATGAAGCTCGTGGGTGGTCGAATGAACTGCGACGACTTGCGCGTCGTGATAAGGCAGCATCGGTGGCTCGATTGATCCAAGTACCCCCAAAGAGGAGGACAATGACGACAAGCGGCTCTAAAACCGCTCCGGCACCCATGACGAGTACCAATATGCAAAAGTAACAACAAGTGCAGTAAAGATAATGAGGATACTGTAATGGAGGTCAAGGTACGGAGTAAAGGTAAGGTTCGAAAAGAGGAACACAAACGAGTAGACCAAATTGAAAGAACTGGGCAACTGCTTGGTCCTTGATTTGGAGCAGTCCCAAGTGAAAGGCCAAGACCACTTCCAAGGCAAAGCCCTGTAGGGCAGGCACGGAGGCCGGAGCAACCGGAAGTTGGAGATCACATTTCATTGACATGCGAATCAGAAGCTTGGAACTGGTGAGAGAAAGGTATTAGGCTGTATTCTGCTGGGGTTGTGAGGCATGATTGGGTTGTGGCTGGACTAGTTGGCATTGGCGACTCCCTTTGTCGCGTGCTCACGTACTCGTTTTCGGTCAGGCTCGTACACAGCGGGGTGATCCTGGGTATGCAATACCCACATATTTGCAGTGTCTGGCATATGTACGAGACGTCCAGTACATATGACTAATGGTTTCTGCCCGTGGATGATAGTGGATGTACGATACACAACCTCGTACCTGATAGTGGATGTACGGATCACTTCGGACTCGGTCAAGAGGCGGAACTATTTTAGTAACTTGCCAAGAGTGATACATGTGTACATACATAGACTTGGGCGCCATGTTTTACGGAGTTCGGAGTAGTACTCGATCCATAGGGTAATCCACATAGTGTGGTCCTTGTGGATGTGTGGGCCCTTGATTAAGTTCATAAAGCGGCCAGTGTATAAAGTACAAGTTGATACACTTCTACGAGGTCGTACTGCATAGATGAATTTGATTTATGAATAAATTGTATAATTATGTCGATGTTTCTTCGAACCCACCAATCACAGCCCAATCACTCAATCTCCATCTCAGTCGGCGCCGAGTTTGTCAGCGGAATCCTGATCGCTCGGCATCGGAAGTTGATCGCGCCGACGGATTCAATACAGTATGCTCCGTATTCCGACAGGGTAAGAAGCACCCGACATTGGCTTCTGTGCCTCAAATATACCAATACATGCTCTTCCAACCACTGCCTGTATATCCACCCTACTGGTCCGGCCTCCAGTAGATACCCACTATTTCGGCGACGACAGCCGAGCTCGGATTTCTTTGAAAATATTAGTAAAAAATAAATAAATCGGTGGCTTAAAAGAAATACTCTGCATCCTTAGTCCGAGGCTTGTCGTATAGACTATTTATCAATGGGCCCAACTGCAGTCTATAGCTAGCTGGAGTGAGCTGATGTCATCTCCCTTATTTAAGCTTCTCCGGAGTGAAGTATAGTTTACGTCAATCCTCAGACTCAAAAAAAAGATGGCTAGCAAACAGATTCGCATGTTATCATCTCCCTAGTTTCTTCCAAGTTGTAGAAACAATCAAAAATAATCCCAACCACCCTCTCAAGTATACCTACGGTATACACTATCTTTCCATCAAACCCCTCCAACTTGAGCCACACATCACCATTAAAAAGAAGGGCCTTAAACAATGACCGGTACAAACTCTCTCGTCGCAATCACCAGGCTGATGAACCGCATGCCTACCATCACCCATATGACCAAGATGGCAGCATCCTCCACACAAGCCAGGAGTCTATCTACAACGCCTCCAGCACAAGGATTGACCCTCCTCCAGGACAAACAGAATGGCTTCGGCTTTGCGAGATCGAACCCGAGACCATCTAAGCCTCGAAGCAAGGGCGTTACAGAGATCCGAGGCCCTTATTACTCGGTATGAACACTCAGTACCTAGTCAATAGTCAAATAGACTAAGCTCATGCCTGCAGGTGATGGGTAAACGGTATCTCGCAGATATACTCGAAACGTGAAATCCCCTCAGTCCTCCATGGATGTCCATCATGACTGACTTGGCCATAGAATGGGAAATCACGTTGACGGGCTGAAGTTTGCCGGAGGTGGGTTTTGAGACTGTGCATGCAGAGTCACAGTGCGTGCTGATTGCTACTCTCTAGGCTCCTTCTCTCTGTTTGAGGAGACACCCCTGCGCGAATTAATCGATCTTGCCCACGAACACGATGTTTACGTCTCTACGGTATGTTTCGATACCGATACGATACCTGTTACTGCATATAGTGTGCGGCTTGAAGACTCATTTCGGCTGATCGTTGTGGTTGGTAGGGCGGCTGGGCCGAGCATCTCCTCACGCACCCCGACGCAAACACGGTGTTTGACCGCTACTTGACCAAATGCAAGGATCTGGGGTAAGTTGAGCTCCTGCAATCTCAGGGTCTGGGGAGAAGAAAGGCTTACTAGTCATACATTTCTAGCTTCGACGTTATCGAAATTTCCTCGGGCTTTTTGTCGATCCCGGAGGACGACTGGCTTCGACTCGTTGATAAAGTGCATTCGTACAAGCTGGAGGCGAAGCCGGAATTGGGAATCCAGTTCGGTGCCGGCGGTGATACTCCGGCATCGGGCCTGGAAGCGATTGGGACTTCGGATCCGGGGAAGCTGGTGAGCCTGGGGCGAAAGTTCCTTGACAACGGAGTGAAGCGGTTGATGATCGAGTCGGAGGGGATCACAGAGAATGTGAATTCGTGGAGAACGGATGTGGTTTCGAAGATTATGAAGGAGTTGCCGCCTGAGCGTGTTATGTTTGAAGCTGCAGATCCCAAAGTATTCAATTGGTATGTTCGAGAGTTTGGGATCGATGTCAATGTATTCGTCGATCATAGCCAGATCGTGCAGTTGGCCTGTCTGCGATCTGGAATTTGGGGAACGGCGGATACCTGGGGCAAAGTTGTTTCATTTCGGCCAGAATGAAAAGGAATAGGATTGAAGATATTCGTGAAAAATGTCATTTCGTTCGTCATAAAGCCAAGGTTGAAGAGTATCAGATTGGAAATCCCAATCCGGTGGAACGTGCTTAGTAATAAATCAGAGTCCGGGGAGAGCAGCATTCCCGCCCGCTCCGCTCCTCCGCCACGCCGCAACGCAGCCCCGCAAGATTATCCTCGTCACGAAGTTACCTCCAGATACAATTTCCCCCGCATCGATGACCTACGGCACACGAATTTCCCAGGCGACTCATTGACCGAACGAGCCTCAGCGGCACAAGCGGCCATGCCTCGGGCAAGTACAGCCCCAGGGGCGCGCCTTCGCTGTCGCCGAGCTTGCGATAGTTGCAAGCGTCGCAAGCAGAAATGCAATGGCGAACACCCCTGCACGATCTGTGTCCAACGCAAGAAAGAATCGGAATGCCATTTCTCGGATCGCCCCGCCCGGCTGCTCAAGCCCGAAGCCAAAGATTCAACCATGCTACTCAGCGAACGCATAATACCCTCACCGCAACGCGAGACGGCGATGGATCGACTGTTGAATTCCCTTGAGGATCGAGGAATGAACCTGGAACATCAGGTCCGAGACGAAAAGGAAGGGACGGCGCCTGTACCGAAAGTTGCGCGACTTCTGCGCGACGGACAGGGGAAATTCATGTATATTGGCGATTCGGCCAGTCTGTCGTTTTTGCAAAGCGTTCGTCGGGTGGTATCTTCGTCAATTGGTCGGTGTGAATTTACCGAAGACAACTCCAGGCATTCTATGCTCGAGGCATTTCAGAATAACCCCAGCACTCATCCCAGTGCTCTCGTCCAGCCGCCCAGCAACGAAGACGCCCAACAACTTGCTCGACAATTTGTACTCGCTACCAATCCTCTCCTTGATCTGTTCGACTTGGAAGAATTCCATCCTCGTTTAGCCAACTGGGTAGGTAACCCTACGGGCGATGAAGATACCGTGAGCTCAATATTCTACCTCGTCCTCGCCATTGGAGCGCAAGTTTCAAATATACATCAAGATACGGCGGAGCAGTTCTTCGGTAGCGGTCGGCAACTGGCGTTCTCGGCTTTCCAGGAAACCCCCAGCATCCACACCATTCAGTCATATATCTTGGTTTCGATGTATATGCTTGGAGCATGTAGGCGCAATGGTGCATTCATGAATCTTGGAATTGCGCTGCGTGCTGCATATGCTGTCGGAATTCACCGCAAAGATGCGAACGCGCTGTTTTGTGGACGGGAAAGAAGGGCCAGAGAACGCGTATGGAAGAGTCTCCGGATGATGGACTTATTCCTCAGTGCCTCTTTAGGGCGCCCTCCAGCAACTTCAGACTACGACTACGACATACGCGATGACACTGTTGAATCTGGAGAATCGCAACGGAATTCATCTCCAGAGCAACAGCTCTCAGTTGCAGTCATTTCGCTTTGTCGCATTTTCGAGCGAATCCTAACAGACGTCTACATGAAGCAAGTCATCTCTATTAGCGTTGCCGAATCAATTTCAAATCAACATCGCGCGTGGGTGCGAACTCTACCCGATGTTCTCAAAATGCAAACCGAGCGACTTGATCACAAGAGCATGGAAGAAAGCTTGGCGGCCGCGCATGTTTTTGGATCATATTACTGGTCCATCATTCTCCTGACACGACCGTTCCTAGTCTACCGCGTGGCACAATACGTGAAGAACAAATCCGATCCTTCCTCATTATCCGATTCAAAGAGCAGCAGCTCCCGCATCTCCTTATTCTCAGATGCCTGCGTCTATTCCGCTTTACGAGGCCTCGATGTCGTGGAGGATCTCGGACAATTCTCCTCCCTACCAAAACGCCTCCCATTTTTGATCAATTCGGTATTCAATTCTGCCGTCGTTCTGGGCGCCGCGTTTTTTGCCGATTACGATAACTTACTACCTCTAGAAGAGGGCATGGGCAAGGCAGAGCGATTTCTAGGAGTCTTTGTCCCGCACGACCCTCATGCATGCCGCTTCTACCAAATTGTCAAATATCTCCGCTCTGCCGTCGCAGAGTACATCCAACGACGCAATCGCCAATGGATGGACCATCGAAGTAAACAAGTCGATCAGCTATTCGGCCAAGTAAATAGCACCGACCCAGGATCTGTCCGGGATATCTCCACGCCAAACCGTCTCTCTGAACCTCATCGTTCATCCGCCGTCCCTTCTCCCTCCTCGTCTAATAAACCGGCTGCCAGTACCTCTACCTCATTCCTCGCCGCACAACAACCTTTCCCTGGTACCCAGCCTTCAGGAAACGAAATGTGGGACGCACTTTACAGCGGGGCAGATCCATCGGCTTTATCTTACGACGCGGCCATCTCCGCCCTTACAACTTCAGGAATACCCGTTGGCTGTTCGCCCGGCGGTACTATTCCAACCGGTCAACTTCCAGCCTCCGGCCCCTCGCCTCTATCGGATGTTATGTTCCCCGAAAGTGGCTTGCTGTACATGGCCGAAGACCTTCCAGTATTTGGAATCTGGGAAGATTCCTGATTTTGAGCCTTTTGAACGTATACCTTGGGTTGGTCTTTGTATTGAATTGGAAGCGGGGTGCATTGGCGTCATATCTTTCCGGGAGGCCTTGTTCATTACACTATACCTTTATATAAATGGGTGGCCCATGACTTGATGAATCTTTTTCGGTGTATATCTATTGCGTCTTTTTTTGGATAGATTGTCCTGGCAATATAAGCCTGGTTCTAGTGGATTATGAACAATTTTTGAATCCCACCTCTTGCTCGAATATCATATATTATCTATTACTAATTAGCAGGAAGCTGAAATAAAGCATCACCTCTTGCGACTCGGTCGAATCTTGCTCTATCGTTCAAAAACCTCAACTACATTTTGAAAGAAGTTTCGAATTGACAAGTAGTCAACCAGACACATCGCCTCTCCAATCCCACTCAATTCCGAGTTCCAATATACTCTATACTATTCTATACCAGAAAAACACCCCTTCCCCCCCCTCTACCTCCTCCTAATATCAAATCTTCCTCGCCCGTATCCAATTAAACGGCACATCCCTCCCAACCCCACCATCACAATCAACCTCAACATCAACAACAACCTCATCAACCTCAATCTGAAACCCTTCCTCCCTCAAAATCCTCCCAATCTCCTCCCTCCCCCACCCACTCCAATACATCTCACCTTCGCTTCCCCCCAACCAATCCCGCTTAACACTCCCCTCAAAGCCCGCCTCGGAAAAATTACCCAAAAACCGTCCCCCAACTTTCAACCACCGCCCAATCCGCCGCAGGAGCTCTGTCTGCTCCGTGCGCGGGAGGTGAATGATCGAGTACATGGCGATCACGGCGTCGAAGGATCCGTCCTCGAAGGACAGCGCCATCATATCGCCCTGTATAAGGGTTGTGTTGGCGGGTAGCCGGGTCTTAGCCAGTGCGATTTGTGTGTCTGAGATGTCGTTTGCTGTTACGGTTGTGTTGGCTCGTGCGGCGAGGACTTGTGTGCAGGGCACGCCGGCGCCGCAGCCTAGCTCTAGGATGTTTATGGAGTTCGAGTCTGGACCCGGGGTGGGGGTAGAGTCAGACTCAAAGTCCATTGCTTTGAGGAGGGCGTTGAGATGCGAAAGGCGGACTGGATGGGATCGGGTTGTCCATTCTAGATATGTGTCTGCGATCTCGTTGTAGGCTTTTCGGATGTTTTCTTTTATGACGGTTGGGTCGGACATTTTGGCGATCTTCTGGTGATGAGGTAGGTGCTGGTGTGTAGGATTATGATATGATTATAGTGTATTCGGTGCTTCCCAGGGTTCAATGGGGTTTATACTAGACTGGATCTCACTTCAAGGTTGAGGAAGGAATGACTCATAGTTGCATTTCTTTAAGACATAAATAGATTAGAACTACCTTACCTAGGTACATACAGTACGAGCGGGCGAGTGAGTGGGTCTGCGGGGTCCGGGGTTGGATTAGCGTTGCCAGGTGAGGATAATCATCCGTTGGGGTATATTTGGTTAGGGCTTACATCGAACTTGGGCCTCGTACTATGTCTCATAGTCTAAAGAACCTTGATTTGGAAAGATCTTGATCTTCAAGTCATTCGGTTAATTGCGGTTGTGGTTAGATGAGCAAAATCCGGGCTATGATTCATCAATAGGCCTCCTGTGTAACCCCACAAGTACATTAAATTAACTCGTGGCTATATTGGCTACTGTCTCGGATTCGATACAAACTACGACTGAGTACTGCAGTATTAAACATTGCTCCCTTTTATCTGACGTGATCAGGTTGAAGCTAAGTTACCTATGTTCGAGAGGAATGCGATTAGGTTTCGAGGTCCCATAGGAAAGCACCCCAGGCCCTAAAGGTCTTACGTGACAGGTGAAACCCGCAAGGCAAAGTACCTGGGCATCGTGAGGCTTTTCCGTCTAGGCATGGAAGGAAACATGGAAGCTGGACTGGAGGTAGGAACATGGAGTTGAAAAGGGAATTCGGTTCGGGTAGGCCGTTCGAGGACACAAGAAGATGGGGCAAAAAGTAACGAGGGCATTGAACAGTAGTAAGCATCACATCACCATCGACAAAATTACATCAGAGAAAAGAGAGAGAAACAGAAAAGGATAGGAAATGCAGGACGTGAGACTTTAGTTAAGATCAAGCAAGGCTCTTGGAACACGTGAGATCGACAATGGCGCTCGATAATGCGTAAGGCTTCTTGTGAATGCCAGAGTCATGTCGTGGTGTGCGATGATACGTGCTGCGTTATGATGGATTCAAGGGGAATGGGGCCATGATTATGTACGCGAGTCAATTTCTGAAAATGGGAAAAGACAAGCAGTTTATGTAAGGATTCTTTCTGACTCAGACCTCCAGGTCAGATTCGCTTCGCAGCAAAGGACGATGGAGGATGGATGGATGCCAATGGTCAAACGGGACGGGATTATATAGCCAGGCAAGTGTGAGTATGGATGCAAATGGCTTTTGCTGTTCTTAGAAGCCGAAGGGGTTGTTGGGTGTGGCTTGCGACAGGTTCGCCCTGAGTCCTGTTGGCTGAGGAGCAAGCTTGGGAGGTGCATCCGGCTTCACACCGAACCTGATTGAAGGGGGAGGTCCGGTCTTCTGAGCCGTCAGAGGCGCCGCTGTTGGTTGCTGAGGGATGGGTGGCACTGGAGGTGGGGGTTGGTTATAGTTATTGGCATTGCCGAACCCGTTCATGCCAGTTGGCTGAGGCTGCAGAGCAGGGGGGAGCATCGAGTTGATGCCGGTCTGCATAGGCTGCTGGGGTTGCGCATATCCACCGAAGCCTGTGGGCTGAGGTGCGACACCTTGGAAGCCAGGCTGGCCATTGCCGTAGGGCTGCTGCTGCTGCTGCTGCTGCTGCTGCTGGATTCCGAATTGGGATTGGGGGGTGAATCCGGTTGGCTGGGGCATCAATCCATTCTGGAACTGACCCTGGCCCATGAAGCCCGTAGGCTGGGGCATCTGGGGTTGGTAATTCTGACCAGGGGGACCAAGTGGTTGACCAGCCTGAGGGAGACCTGTCAGTTGAGCCTGTAGAGGAGGAGGGCCAAAGGAATTCTGCTGTTGGGAGAAGTTTTGCGGCGCTGACAGCGGGCGTTGGGGAGGGGGGAGGAAGAAGCGAGCTCTGGTTCATATTCTGAGGAGCGTGTGGGCGCGCTCTAGCCTGTTGTCCAAGTTGTGCGACCTGAGCAAATAAGTCGGGGGTAGCACCTGTTGCTTGTGGCTGCTGTGGAGGTGGGGTCTGCACGGCAGTTTGCTGGGGCTGAATAGCAGGGATGGAAACAGTTGGTATGGGTGCGGGTGCGGGCGTAGGCTGTAGAGGAGCTTGGAGTAAAGTCAAGTCCGCCATCGCTCCAGTGACCTGCGGCTGGGCTGGAGCTGGGGATGCCGTGCCGGTGGCCTGGGCAGTAGGAGCCGATGTTGTGGGTTGCTTGGGCTGTTTCACTTCCCAGGCATCATCGTCAAATCCACGTTGAACGGGCTTCTCCGGAGCTGAGGGAGCCACGGGAGTTGGGGGACTGGCAGCGCGCTCTTTCTCCTTTGGCTTGGAATCATCTGCTTGCTCAAACGCCTTGGGGTCCACGACATCACCGGCCTGTAGAGTGGGGGCTGGACGTCCTTTGCGAGTGTTGTTACGCAGCATGCCACCAGGGCCAGCAAAAAGACCGCCTTCATCACCATTGCCAATGACCTCCTCACCACCGAAGCTGACATTGCGAAGCTTGGAGGATTTGGAACCAGTGCGTCCGAGCGTGGCGTCTAGGTGACGCATAACCCGCAAAATATCACCTTCCTTCAATCCCAAAGAGCGAAGGGTCTCGGGACTGATATCGGGCAGAACCGATTCATCCATCGAATCCTTGAGGAAATTCTGCGCATAACGTTCACACTGGTGTGGGCCAACGCCGGACTTCAGGAAGAAGTCGAACCAGTCATATTCGGGCCGTTGCACAGAGGCACCCGCGGCGCCCTTGGGATCGGAGGAGGCTCGAGCCCGAATACTGGACAAGGGCTTGTCCTCATCCAGAGAGACACCAGCAGCCTTCTCCACATACTCCAGATCCTCAACGGACATCTTGGCGACTGGAACTGCAATCTTGATTCCATTGGTCTTATGGAGATGAATCTTTCCATCCTGGAGACCAATAAACTGCGCTTCAACGGTAAAGGCTTTAGTCCGGTCCGTCCATTTTCGCACTTTGTTTGAATCAGGCTCTGTAGTGAAGCGTTAGATCTTGATGCATGTTTTGTAGACATAAAAAAGGGAGCTTACTTGACTTGTGGCTGGATTTGCTGTCACGCTTGCGATGCTGCTTCTGTAAACGCAAACACGTATTAGAATAGGAACAGACATGGAACGGGGCAATTCAAACGGCTTTATGGCGATGCTTACCTCGGATGAGTCCATAGAGTCGGTTCTTGTTTTGCCCATCACTGCCTTGACCAACCGAGACTCCTCCAGGCGGTTCTTTTCCACAGAAGACAGGCCTGACGAGTCTACCAGAACAGGGGTATCTTCGGTCACGAATCCGGTCACTTCAACGTAGCTGCTGGGAACCACGCCCTCCTTTCCATTCTTCAGTCTTTTCACCATCCACCATTCCTCGGATTTGGTGTCATCGATGACTACGACGTCGTCACCCACAGCCACCGTAACCTCATCCTCACCTTGAGCCATAAAATCGTATAGGATCTGACCCTTCTTCTTGCCACCGCCTCCCTTTCCGGCAGCAAGGACTTCTCGAAGACCCTCAGCCTTATAGGCTCCAGCAATTTCACCAAGCGCGGCCACGATCTCAGCAGCGGTATCTTTGGCACCGGCGTGGAAATCAATACTCTTGCTAGGCCGGACCAGGTCAACAAAGACATGTTTGCCTTCGATAGAGTAATGGGTCAGCTTTTCGGCTGACCACTCTTGCTGATTATCATCGCCCTCGGGGGAAATGAAGATAATTCCCGTCACCATGTTGATGCCTATTGTTGTAGGCATCTTCTTTCGCTTGCCCATAACCTCAACCATCTCATTGATATTGTACATCTTGAAACCCGAGGGCGACTTCGGTGTCAGTTCACCTGCTCGGTTGTAAGGAGGAGATTCCTTGACGTGCGTGTTGTCTCGCATGTCTCGCATGGGGGGGAGATGCAATCTGAGGGCGGGGTGGGCGACGCGGTTCGGGCTCGGGCGAGTAAGGTTCCATTGGCGTGGAAAACTGCAGTTGTTCTGATGGCGGGCGCTGGGGCAGGCTTGGCGCGGGTGCTTCGCGATCGGCCTGGTCATGCGAAGGTCGAGTAGGAAGCTGGGGAGGCGGGGAATCCTCGCGTGCGGGTTCCGAATATGTGGCGGCAGGCGCATGTTGCTTATGAATAATGTCCGCAATCGCGGCGGCCGCGGGGTTGTGCACAGGAGACGGCGCAGGCGACGCTTCATATTCCTCCTCTGGGGGAGCGGTTGGTCGCTGCGGAAGAGATGGCGCCTTTGGTTCGGCGGGAGGGGGAGGGGGAGCTGCGGCTGCAGCACCGCCGTGGGGTGCAATCTCCTCGATGAGTTCAATGTAATTTGAGGGCGCGAATCCATACTCCGATTTGACCCCTACCAAAGTCCAGTCCGGATCTGATGTGTCGTAGACCAGTAGTTCGGCATCTTCGGAAAAGGAAACCTCTTCGTCCGTTTGCCTCGTATAGTCGTAGAGAGCTTTAGCATTGTATGTGGGTTGCGCCTGTCGAGATGATGATAGAGTAAGTATAAGTCAATTCTTCGAGATTCAAAGCCATCGCGCCGACGCTGTGGCTATACACTGTGGGGTACCGATTGCCTTGCACAAGAAGAGTCCTGACAGACACCAGTAGGTGTGTTCTCCTTGCAGGTCACGCATGCTCTGGGATGCTCACCTCTTCAACGTAGTTGTTTGGGACTAGACCTTCCGGTTCGTCGTCATCATCGCGATCTGCCTTCTTCTTGGCCTTCCACCAGTCGTCTTCGGCACTCTTTTCCAAGACGTAGAGCAAATCGCCTTCGCGGATTTCCAATTCCCCTTCTCCCTGAGGATGGTAATCAAACACAGCCGAGTAGACGCCGAGGAAACCCATCGTGAGGCGGAACGCCGCGGTTTTCGAGCGTTCAACTGTAATTCACGACGAATCGATATCCTGGCACTGCGGGGAGAGCAGCGATTGAGGGGGCTGGGTTGGACTCGAGTGGTGGAGGATGCGGGATGCGGTGTTGGTCGGAGAAGCCGCGTGGTGACGGGGTCAGCCTTGGCACGGAGGGCGGGCAAGGGGGGCGAGGGGAGATTAGGAGGGAGTTTGGAGGGAAAGGCGTGGGGAGGGGGGAGGTGACACCCAAAAAAGCACCAAAGTCGGAGAGTTGTGAAGTGAACGGGGGGGTTGGGATTAGGGAGGATGGGAAGGTGGGCCGGCCGATCGCTAGGAGTTCACGGTCACGTTCCTTACGTATGGCTGCATCCAGACGGAGTACGGAGTACTAACTAACTATAAGTTAGTATCAACAACACTACTCAGTACTAGGTCCCATCTACTCCGTGAATATACCTGGCAATACTTTCACTTCCTCCCACCTCCTCCATCTCTAGTATATCCTCACCAGCCTCCCGTCTTCCTGATGCCCCCACTCGGTACCCGGCAACTGGGGCATCTGACGTCTTTGGGCATGAAGCTAACCGACCGTTCCTGTTCCTGGCCACGACCTTCAAGTTTTGTTCTGGAAACCCACGAGGGCCACCCATGGACATGGGATAGTACTAAGTAGTGTTACCATTTAAAATATTTATATACCTAAGTACTACTCCACTTCACCTTCACACAACTTGTAAGGCTGGGATATACTAGTACTAGTACATTGAACCCTCGTATGCTGACATTCAAGTGTTATTCATAGACACGCCAAATATTTAATCGATTTAATGTACAATATGTCCCTCATAGTTCATCTTTGAAAATTTCCTCACTACCTTCCGTCTCGGTCTCCTCAGTCTCCTTGTCTGCTGAGGCTTGCTTTTCTGTCCGTGGTGCTTCACCCGAGTCCTTCTGTGTATCCGAAGACTTTTTCAGCGGCGTCTTTTCCGCGTGAGGAGTATTCTCATCCTTTGCCGGTTGGTCATCGGAAGATTTAGATTTAGAACCAGTGGTATCGTCAACGACACCCTGGAACTTGATAACTCCATCATTCTCGACAACGACCTCGAGAGTCCAGTCTTTCCCCTCAGCAAGTTTATCCATCTGTTTCTGCATCTCCTCGAGCTTTTCCTCATTAAGCTCGTACTTTTTCAGCAACTGCTTCGACACAAGTCGAACCTCGCCATTCTCGCGCTTGACGACCGCCTCTGCCCGCTCCTCGGCGGTCAAGGCCACGCGGCCCTTCTCAATCACTTTGCCCTCCATTCCCACCAGTTTACGGGCCCCAACCTCGATCCCGCCGACAATCTGCACTTTCTCTAGTTCGACCGCCGCAGCGGAGTTCACTAGTTGTTCCGCCTGGTACCAGTCTTTCATGGCTTCCCAATCAGGGACATCCTCCGGCGTAAGAATCTCCCGGCATTCGATGTCGTGGATCTCGTCCTGCTGTGGGGGCAGGAAAGCGACGTCGTCACAGAGACGAGGCGTGTAGATGACCATCAGGTAGGAACAGGTGGTCAGCTCCTTGATCCAGCCAATCTGGTCGGTGGATTGTGGGTGGCAGTGGAACTGCACTTCGACCCGCCTGTCACGTCCTGTCAAGTCACACGTCGTCCCGCCCCGTAAATGCTGCACGAGATAGCGCGAACCACCTTTAGTATGCAGCTCTGCCACTTCCGTTTGTGGGCTCTGCTCCTGGTCCTGGTCTTGCTTCTGATTCTGCTGCTGCTGGTCTTCCCCCTTGCTATTTGCCTCCATGTGGGCCGGGAATTGGCCCAGAATAAATGAGTGCGTCGTCGGGTCCTCCATTGGCGGGTACTGTGGCACGTTGCGGCCGGCGGGGAGGGCGTGAAACTGCTTGATTTGTTTCCGGTAGCAGAATGAATAGGACCACCAGCCGGAGAAGTAGTACATGCATTTACCCTCCATCTCGCGCAGGAGTTCGAGACCGCGGTCTGTTGCGCGGGCTAGTTCTTTCTGGTGCTCCGCTTCGTTGGCCTGGTTGTTTGCCGTCGTGTTGAGATCGTCCAGGGCGACGTGGGGGATTTGGCAGAGGAGGCGCCGGTCATCCATTATCATTTCTTCGTAGGCGTATGATGGGGAGTCTCCGTCTCTGTCCGCGTGTGTTGCGTCTTCCGGGTAGGCCTTGTTGATGTATACTTGGGGGTTGTTCTGGTCGTAGCTTGATGCGTCGGCTGCGGCATTGGCTTGTGCTTGGAGCAGTTCTTCGGCTGTTGAATCGAGAATATATTCGTCGGGGAAAACAACTTGGTACTACAGATAATGATTTGGTTAGCGCGGGTGTTATTTCAAGGACGACGTCGCTATCTGCCCCGGGGATGGAAGCTACCTGCGGATAGGCCAGAAGGTCATCGTGGATGTTGAATGGCCTCTTGGCGGCCCAGGCACTAGATGCGACACAGGCAAATGTCAGCCATGGTGCGAGGCCATGCCTTGATCGACCCATGTCTGATATCTGGGACTGCTGTTTGGAGGGGAAGTCGAGAGCTTGGAGGTTGGGGATGGGGGTGGGTGGAGCGAGTCTTTGGGCGTTTCCCCGCCGGGAGGTAACAGGTATGTCGCGCGCGAAGAGATCAGTGATTCATATGTATTAGATATGTATCTCATACAATAGAACAGAGCCACTGTGGTTGAGACCTACGCAGTAGGTAGCGTTCCAGCGCGTTGGTGTAGAGCGGAGCGGACCTGGGGCACGGGGAGCTGCTCCGTGGCCTTATCTGATAGCTGTGGTTGGGGCCGGGTCATCCCCGCTAATGCTCCGACATTTGCTCTGATCAATAACAACCACGGTATTGAGCGGTTCACAGGAAAAGAAAAGGCTGAAAATAATCGTTGTTTCTCTAGTGAAAGCCCTTCTACTTATATCCAGGCTACTGCTAGTATTTCATATGAGTAAAAGTGTGACGTCGGGAAATACCAGACTCAAGTTGGGAAATACATCGCGTGCATTCAAGTTCTCATCCACTACATACCTAGGTAGGTATGACCTCGGGAGAGGAATTGTAAGATGTATCCTGACCTCGTAGTATTCAATTGTTATTCCTACTATCCTAATATCTATTCACAGCTCAGCTGTACTCCGACCAATAACTATACACGTGACCCCACGTGATCCGACATTTATCCGCCTCGGATATATAGAATAAGAGCTAACCCCTTACAGTTTAGCGCTATGCTGACTCTGGTTTTGGTCAGCTTCGTAATGGCCGTCAAAGCGCCGGGTGATTCGCCAATGGCACCGCTGACTGATTTCTGACAAGTGCTTTGTCGCTTGCGATGGATCAGTATTTATGAAGCTTGACTAACCGCTGACTTTAGCAATTCCAGTTCAATCCTAAGGGCATTGGAAACTTCGAGTCTTTCTCCCAAAGATCTATAAAAGGCCGCCATCTCATTCATGAAGCTACTTCTGCCTTTATTAATTTGCATCACCGCAATCCTCTTTACATATCGACCTTCACCTTCAACCCAAGACTCCATTATAAGCTATCTACAACAGCGCGCTCCAACAAGCCTGTTACAATTTCTCAACTTCACAAACACACCACCTAACACCGAATCTTCGAAACCCTCCAACTTAAACATACCACAGCCAGTGGAACTGAACCACCCATCTCCAATTATCCCCGCAATAACAAAAATGTCCGCCGCCCGCGCCATCCGCCAAGTCTTCCTGGCCATCGAGCAAGCTGAAGGCGCAGGCGCCCGCGTCCGCCGCTCAATCGGCACCCCCAAGCTCCGCAACTTCAGCCCATTCCTAATGCTAGACCACTTCACCATCGGCAAGGGCGCCGGTTTCCCAGACCACCCCCACCGCGGCCAAGAAACAATTACCTACCTACTCTCCGGCGGCGTCGACCACGAAGACTTCGCCGGCAACAGGGGCACGATCGGACCCGGCGATCTGCAATTCATGACAGCGGGCCGGGGAATCATGCACGCGGAGATGCCGCACGAGAACGCGGACGGCAGTCCGAATGTCGGCATGCAGCTCTGGGTCGATCTGCCGAAGGAGTTGAAGATGTGCGAGCCGCGGTACCGGGATCTGCGCAGTGGGGAAATTCCCGTTGCGACTGTTGATGAGGGCCGTGTTCGTGTGAAGGTTATCTCGGGACAGTCGCATGGGATTGATTCGGTGAGGGATTTGGCGTATACGCCGGTTTGGTTGCTTGATGTTACCATTGCGCCTGGGGGAAGTATTAAGCAGCCGCTGCCGGTTGGGTGGAATACGTTTGCTTATACGCTTGAGGGGGAGGTGGTTTTTGGGTCGAATGATGCTACGCAACGGGTGAAGGAGTTTCATAATGTTGTTTTTGAGCAGAGTGGGGATTTTGTGGAGGCTTCTGTTCCTAGGGATGCGGAGGGTGGGGCGAGGTTTATCGTTGTTTCGGGTCAGCCGCTTGATCAGAAGGTTGTGCAGTATGGGCCTTTTGTGCTGAATAGTCAGGAGGAGGTTTATCAGGCTATGGTTGATTTTCAGAGTGCGCAGAATGGGTTTGAGAAGTCGCGGAATTGGCAGAGTGAGATTGGGAAGCGGATGGGGAACTGATGAGATAGGGTGATTTATTGTTTCTTGTTTATATGCGTGAAACTTGGATGCATGTGTTGGAGTTTGATTGTGATTTATTGTATAGTTAAATAAGATCGAATGAGTTATGATTTACAAGAATGCCTATTTGGTATGATAAAGCATTTGTAATGAGTGGCGTTTCGCCCACTGCTTCCTGGTATTGTTTTGGTCAGGTTCTCGGCCATCTACATTAGCCAGTGTAGCGAGATCGTAATTTGGATTATCGGTGAAACAAATAGGGAGCCTAGTATACAACCAGAAAATCGCATTGGTAGTAAATTGACTATCTATGACACTGACGCTGTGTGTCATGATTAAACATGGGAAAAAATTGCTAAGAGAAGTTGGCCGGCCCAGGCACTTAGATGAGAAAGGGTTGAAAAGGCAATAAAATTAAGATAACAATAAAGGCTCGTTTTCGTAAGGTCGTACCATGCTAAGTACGCCATTTCCGCTTCGGTTAAAGATGAGATCTAGCTGGCCACGAGGGTGGTTGGATAGAAAAGGAAAAAGGTGACGTGTCTGATATAACAACACGCATTGAGAAGAAAATTTGTCCCTGTAATAGTAAAAATCTATCAAGGCGACGCTAAAAGACCCAGGTCTTCCAATCACATAGTCTCTGCTTGTGCGATGCCCTTGAAAGTGGGTTCGCTCACAGTACCAATCACAGCAACGCCCATATTCACTTTCAGATCACGTATGTTGAAGCAACCGAAGGCAACTAATTTTGTGAGAGCTGGACAGCAACGTACAATGCACTGAGCAATATAGTCATCCACGGGACCAGTGAATGAGATATCGAAATTCTTCAGGTGTGGGTATCGCTTGTTCTCGTCAAAGACCGTCTCGAAGGCGTCGCGTGATATGTGGCGACACGATGCAATACTCAACGACTGGATTTTGGATCCGGAGTGCTCCATGAGGGCAATAAAGCCATTTGAAGCCAGTCCAATTGGCTCGGGGGGGACCAGCGGGGTTCGACATGTCAACGTCTCGGAGCGCATAGAAATCCACATAGGTCAAGGGTGGGTTGGACCAGTCGCGGAAAAGGGAAGTCAGAGCTTGGTCTGTGCAGAGATCATTGTTGGTGAATCGTAGCTTTGTTAGACTGCGGCAGTGGTCATGAATGGACTGGAGCAACGTGTCATCGGCATTCTTGAATTCTTGCAGAGACAAAGTCCGAAGATTGGGGCCGACCGAAGAAATGATCTTTAAAAGAGGTTCGGGTTTAGTGTCCTGGGAAAACCATAATGAAAGATGTTTGAGTGCCTTGAGTGATGATATTGCCGTCAGGGTCTCATCGCCGATTTTCACAATGTGTTGGAGTTTTAGACGCTCGAGTCCAGTGCAATTCTCGCACATAACTTCAGCAGTTTTATTATCGAAGGCAGCATCGAGATCCCATAGCTTTAAGCTTTGGAGACGTGGTCCCATTTTGATAAAAAACCGGCGCCAGCAATCGTCGGTCACCAGGTTTGGGGCACGTAGATGTAGATCTCGAATGCTCTTGTTGTTTTCAACCATGTAGTCGAATATGTTGTCCTTCATTGGAGTGACGAATCGGAGGTTGAGTTTGATTAGATCAGGCATCAGTGCAAGGATCCTGTGATAATCGTCCGTTTGCAGTTGGGCACAGTCATATATATTGAGTTCCCTGTGGTTTCGACGAAGAAACAGATTCAAAATCCTCGGAGTAACTGCTCGCCTCTTGGATAGGATTTGGCTTAGACGGTGCATCACAGGCGGAGGCAAGTCACCAAATTCTTCCACGTCATCAATGCTCTCGGCAACCTTCTTGATGCACATCTCGAGGAGACTTTGAGCACCGTGAGGAGTCTCTCCGTCGAGAAGTTTGGTCTTGTTTTGGCGTCGGCTAGGTCCGGAAACGCGCTTCTTCGCAGGTGCTTTTTTGCCGTCGCCCTTGACTTGTTTTTTCGAGCAATCTGCACAAAGAAGACCCCCTTCTGGACCGGCCTTGCTATACGAAGTAACCGTGAAACGCTTGCCGCATATCTCGCAATTCTCCAACTGACCAGGGGCTGGGCGCGCTTTATCGTCAGCGATCTGATTAGCAATCCAATCGTCATCATCATCAGGCTCGCCAGTTTTTCGTGCCTTGCGACGAGCAAAGTCCTTGGTTTTCTTGATTCTCTCAATTGTTTGTTGGCGCTTGCGCTTCTTCACTTTATCCTCGGGGGGATTCTGGCTCTGGTTCCGGCTCAAATTCGGAATCTTGATCTTCTGCAGCTGCAGCAGTTGTTTCTCCATTCGCTTGGCGCGCCGCTTCGGATACTCGGCGGTCGTAATCATCGCGGATTTGGGCCGCAGAGATGTTGTTAGACTAAGAGATCACAAATTGATTAGTTTCCCGCTGGCAAGGTATTCGGAAAGGATGGGAATCCGGGAGGGTACCACTCACAGCAAGGAAGTCAGTCAGGGCAGAATGTCTAATGAGATTATGTTAGTAAGTTTACACCGATATTCTTAGAGGAGTAAGCATACGGGCCCCGAATGTTTCTGCTTCTGTTTGCACGTCGATCAGCCCTACGAAAAAGAACGAGATTAGCCAGGTTATAAAACATAGAACATCAACTAACAAGTACTCACATGTCGATGACCAGAAGTGTGTAGGAAAGAAGGAAGGAGGAAGGTGGCGAATGGGTGAATGACGGCAAGATGGGCCCGGCCAGTCGTGGCAGTTTCGCGTTGCACTTAACGCGCTCTTATCGACAATGTGATACCTCCGATAAGTGACGACAGTGTACCTGAGAGTAGTTTGATCACCGATCCCAGATCGAAAAAAAATGAGTCAATGAATGAGAATGGAATGAGAAAGAAATTATTTCCAAGGCTGATCAATCCGGAATCAACCAAACTTTGCATCGGATTCGCCTGCGTGAAGAGTTTTCTTGGGTTTCTTGGTTCTGGATCAGGCACTCTCTCCTCTCCTAGGCTCCCTCTCTTTTTTCGATCGATCCATCCCCATCCAGAACCACCTTCCTCTTTCCTTCTCGCCTTCCCCTGTTACGTTCCCCTCACCTTACATTCGCTTGTTCTCAAAACCTCGTTTCTTTGTTTCCTTCTCAATCAAGCACTTGGGTGATCTCAATCTTATCTCTGAATCATCATCAAATCGTCGCGTCGAATCCCGCGTGTTTGGCATAGAGCCTCATCTTCCCGATTGGACTTGAGTACGAATTTCCTCTCCCACCCTTCTCACTCTTGGATCAAACTTCCTCTTCCTTTTCCAGTCTAGAGATTTGAACTGACGTGTCTCCAGAATTAGTTTCAATCGACTCCACGCTCTTTATCATCCCCGAACCGCTCCCTCCCAATTCCCTCCCTATTCGAGTTCACTCCCTCCCAGCCGGCTTCATCCGCTTTGCAAAATGAGAAGACGATCCCAGGCCAAAATCATCCCTGATTCGGAGAATGACGCGCCATTCAGCGAGACGTCATTAAGGGGTTTTTCCCCCTCCGTCGATCGTCTCGACAATCGGGCGGGTCACTGCATACCAATCCCCGGACCCACCACAACACTAAGAATACCGAAAGTGAAGACCCGATCAACTCGATCACTCCGAGAATGACAAGACGCCGGGCAGCAGCCAAGATCGAAGTCATCGTCCCCGGCAAAAAAAGCAACTCGCCGAGTGATACTGCGCAAAGCTCGCTCAGCGGCACTCCTGGTACAAGCACGCCGGCAACCAGTGTTAGCACTGGTATGGAATCGGATGCGAAAAAGACTAGAATAGTCTCCAGTGCCCGGAAGACGATCCATCCAATCGCTGCCAATGCCAGAGCTAGACCTCAGCAGAAGCGTGGCACAAAGAGATCGGCATCTGATATGGCAGCCGCCAATACCCAGGATGATGCGGCTCTGGCCGAGGCACTCCAACAGGAGGAATACATGGCACCGGCTCCAAAAAAGCAAAAATTATCAAATCAAAACGCTCGTACTTCAAAGCTGCAACGATTCCAAGACATTCGAGGAGGATATGAGGTTTCGGACTCGGAAGATGATCTTTCCGATGACCTAACCTCCGACGAAGAATCGCGCCCGCCATCGTTGATTACCGACGAGGGAGACATCTGGGATTCAGAAGAGGGAGATGAAGATGACTACTTGGAAAATGCCAGAGCTGAAGCTGCCGCGGAGGTCAGTGGGGCCTTGTATCAGTTTACGTCCGGTCCGTCTGCATCTCCCGACCCTTCGTCTGATCCCAATGCCGTGGGACCTAGTTTCGACGAATCGGAAGATTCCGAAGTTGATCCCGATGAGCATCCGATGAGTTGGGATGAGAGGCGCAAAGCTGGGCGCGCGGCTAAGGAGCGGAAGAAGCTGGTCTCAAAGCATCCAGTTGTAGAGACCATGTGGGACGAGCTCAAAGCCCAACCCATTCTTGCTCCAGCACCCGCTCAGCAGCCGTCGTCAATTACTAGAAAATTAAAGCCTTTCCAGCTGGAGGGCTTGAGTTGGATGATTGAGCAGGAAAAATCGTCATACCGAGGTGGCTTGCTAGGTGACGAGATGGGCATGGGAAAGACCATCCAAGCGGTGTCTCTCATCATGTCCGATTTTCCACAGCCCGACCCCACCCTTGTAATTGTGCCGCCCGTTGCTTTGATGCAATGGCAGAAGGAAATTCAAGAATACACTAATGGAAAATTGAAAGTCCTCGTTTATCATGGCTCTGACTCAAAGGTGAAGAAACTCACCGAGTCGGATCTTCGAAAGTACGATGTCATTATGATTTCCTATTCGAGTTTGGAGTCTATGCATCGCAAGCAAGAGAAAGGTTGGTCTCGTGGAGGGAATACGGTCAAGGCAGACAGCGTCATACACTGCATTCACTACCACCGACTCATCCTTGACGAAGCTCATAGCATCAAGCAACGTACCACGGGTGTCGCCAAGGCTTGCTTTGCCTTGAATGCCAACTTTAAATGGTGTCTCTCCGGTACCCCTGTGCAGAATCGAATTGGCGAGTTCTTTTCTCTACTTCGATTCTTGCAGCTTCGACCGTTTGCGAGCTACTTCTGCAAACAATGTCCCTGCGAGGAACTCCAGTGGATGGCGGACAGGCAGGGGCGTTGTACGAAATGCAACCATACAGGTTTCAACCACATTTCCGTCTTCAACAAAGAGATCTTGAACCCGATCACGGAAGGCAGAACCCAAAAGGAGCGCAAGGAAGGGCTGGCGAAACTCCGCCTCATCACAGACCATATCATGCTTCGACGATTGAAGGAGGAGCATACCTCGTCAATGGAACTCCCACCGAAACGAATCACCATCCACAACGAATTTTTTGGGGAGATCGAGCACGACTTTTCTCGTAGTATCATGACGAACACGGGCCGTCAATTCGATACTTACGTGAGCCGAGGTGTTATGCTGAACAACTATGCCAACATTTTTGGTCTGATTATGCAGATGCGTCAAGTGGCTAACCACCCTGATCTCATCTTAAAGAAACAGACCCAGCCTGGCCACAATGTCCTCGTGTGTACAATCTGTGATGAACCGGCCGAGGATGCAATTCAATCTCGTTGCCGCCACGACTTTTGCCGGCGATGTGTTACAGACTACGTCGAGTCTTTTGGCTCGAAGGATACTGTGGAATGCCCTCGCTGCCACATTGCTCTGTCGATTGATCTGGAACAGCCAACCAAGGAACAGGAGGCCGAAAGTGTCAAGAAGACGTCGATCATCAACCGAATCTCCATGGAGAATTGGACATCGTCAACCAAAATCGAAACCCTCCTTTACGAACTGTACCGACAGAGAAGCAAGAGCCACACTCCCAAGTCGATCATTTTCTCTCAGTTCACGTCCATGCTCCAGCTCGTGGAGTGGCGCCTGCGTCATGCCGGATTCAACACCGTCATGCTAGATGGTACAATGACTCCCGCACAGCGACAAAACTCTATCAACCATTTCATGACTAATGCGGATGTGGAGGTTTTCTTGGTTTCGCTCAAAGCTGGCGGTGTTGCGTTGAACTTGACCGAGGCGTCTCGCGTCTTCATCGTGGACCCATGGTGGAATCCTGCGGCAGAATGGCAGAGTGCCGATCGCAGTCACCGTATTGGCCAGCAACGACCCTGCGTGATCACTCGATTGACGATCGAAGATTCGGTCGAATCTCGAATCGTGCAGCTCCAGGAGAAGAAGGCGAACTTGATCCGAGGAACCATCAACAAGGACCAGGCTGCGGCGCTGGAGAAACTCACCCCGGAGGATATGCAGTTTTTGTTCCGTGGCTCTTAGACCTTTAACGAAGACATCAAGATCGGTCGCTGGTGCATTGACAACTGGAGGGGTTCCCACCTCTGTTCGCTTTCACTGTGCGCCCGGGTTTTGACGTACTTTTTGCCATGTAGGCAGCAGAATATGACCTCACGAAAACGATACTGTATTAATTCTCGCTCTGTTTTTTTTTTGAATGATGTTACTCCCTGAGTCTCAGTTAGATAGCTAGTTTACCTACGATCAATTCTTACCAATTTACTTCCCTTCAGCCCTATGTTCAGCCTTGTTCTCAGCCTTATACAGTATTCAGCCCTATGGTTCGTACCAATTTCACAACCTGTTTGAAAAAGAAGAAAAAAAAGGGCAAAAATTGTAAATTCCCGGGATGTTAATTTCCCTGATACGCCACCGTCGTCAATCTCTTCTTTCTCCACCGGGGGCCCTCGTGGCTGGCCCGACGTCACCAAACATCTTTTACCGAAACGGGAAACGCGCCCTGTACCTCTTTAGCGCGAGATGACCTCACGAAAGAGTTATGTATAACTTTGACTTTTAATTTCTCTTCCGGAGGTTGCCTTTCAAGGTTTCTTAATGAATATTGGATCTCTCGAAAGTGCTTGTCATTACATGCATTGATATTATCATACTAGTGTTCTATGGAGTACCGAGGCTGTCTAGATCGATTAAATTATTCTTGGCATCGGATATCCCACTCACTTTCGAACTTGAAATATTCAATTACGTACATTTCTCTAGTCTATGGCGTATACGTAGTGCGGAGTAGTCCATCCTTTGTTTCATCGCATATAGATCGGCAGGCCAACCAGTGGTACTCATGTAGACCAGGTACGTAGTTACGGAGTAAAACGTATGTACTACCAGGAACGTATGAGCGCATTCCTTGGCAGCCGCGGTTAATGCTGTTGCCTACCTTTGGTACTGGGTAAGGCTGAAGCTTGGTTCGTTGCGACTTGCCCCACTAATAATGTAGGGACGGGGTACTAATGTAAGTGGAATGTCGTGCTGCCCTGCGATCTTCCTCCTTTTCTCCCTCGACCCGCTTATATTGTTCCTATTCTTATCGAACCATGTGCCCCCGCGTCCCACGTTTATCCTAAGTTGACCAGACTGACCACCTCGAGGCACTCCTCCTCCTCCCTCCCCTCCTCTTATCTACTCCACCTCCCCCCAACTCTCACCATGGCGCAAAAGGTCGACCAATACGGCCCCAAATTGGTCGAAAAGGCCGACAAGCTCCAAAACCGCCTCAGCATGAAAGCCGACTCCCAACCCGCTGGAGGCTTCGATGCGACTCCCATCCCCCCCAGCCCCACCAGGCTACACCCTCAAATTCACCTTCCACCGCGGCATCGACCTTCCCGTCGCCGACTTCGGCAGCTTCTCCTCAGACCCCTACGTCGCAGCGCAACTCTCCGTCGACCTCCCACGCCGCCACAAGCAAGACCCACCAATCCGCTTCCGCACCCCTACAATACGCAAAGATATGAATCCTGTCTGGGAATGTGAGTGGATAGTCGCCAACGTGCCCGCCTCAGGTTTCCAACTCAAAGCGCTCGTCATGGACGAAGATCCCGCAGACCACGACGATAAATTGGGGATCGCGTTCATTGACGTGCCTCACATTGATGACGCCTGGCCTGGCTTTAAGGAGCAGTCCTTTAAGATTAAGAAACGCTTTGGCAGTAAGCGCGTTTATGTCTTTACAAATGTTTCTGCCTTTGCGACGGGTCACCATAAGGAGTCGTTTCTCATTGCTAGTATTGGTGTCTCGGGAGGACGCCTGGTGAGCAGGGCGGGCAGATCTATACCGCCGGCCCGAATCATTGGTTTAAGCACTTTTCGCCGCTTATTGGGCGTTTGGCTGGGACGAAGGATCGTGTTGAGACGACCGATGGGAGTGGGAAGGCTATTAGTCGATACAAGTATGTTTGTCCAGCGCAGCGCGCATCGCATCGCATCGCATCGCCGCAGCCGACCTATGCTAATATTTATACTTCCTTTTCCTCCAGTTTCCAAGCCATCCAAATGCAACTGTCCGGACCAGTCCCGTCAGCCCTTTATCACCGCTACGTCGAATTCAGACCCTTCATCGCAGGAATGTTCCAAGCACAGAGTCTACGAGGAAGAATCCTGCACAAAGCACTCCACCACCAACACCAGCGTATCTATAATTTCGACCGCTCAACCCTGCACGGCGTCTTCGACGCACCCTGCGCGGAATTCACGAAGAAGTTCCTCGAGTTCGTGAGTTATGGGCAGGGCGGGCGCATATTCACGTACGTTATTACGTTGGATGGACAGTTGCGCTTTACGGAGACGGGCAAGGAGTTTGGCGTTGATATGTTGAGTAAACATACGATGCATAGTGATGTGTCGATTTACATTGCGTACTCCGGGGAATTTTTTATTCGGAGGCGTGTGCGGCGGCATAGGTCGAGGTCGGCGTCGCGGTCGCGGTCGCCGCGTATTGAGGGGGGTATCGCTGTTGATGAGGAGGAGGAGGAGCAGGATGCCAGTGATTCTCTTGAACAGCATGACCATGACCATGAGAATGTTTCCGTTGCGCAGGATGTGTCGACTGATCCGGACGATTATGAGCTATTTATCGATAATGATAGCGGGACGTATAGGCCTAACTCGGAACTTCTGCCGCAGCTGAAGAAGTGGCTGCAGAGGAATTTCCCGGGGCTTCATGTTTCGACGCTGGGCAGTCAGGAGGATGCGGAGGTTATGGGGCGGATGAAGGATGAGCAGCGGAGTTTTAAGAAGGAGCATGGGTATTTGATTACGTATTTGCAGCAGAGTTCTGCTTCTTCGTTGTCGATTTCGAGCTCGGATGAGGATGAGCTTAATGAGAGGAATGCTGAGGCGAGCTCGAATCCGAATTCTAGGAGGGGGATGTCGAGGAAGGTTCATGAGATGCGGGATGTTAAGGGGCAGATGATGAGGTGGGTTGAGGCGGATGGTCCTGATAAGTCGAAGGGGAAGTATGCTCGTGAGCGTGCGTTTTCGACGGGGAATGCTTAGCTCTGGTGAAGTGGTTGATTGATTTCTTTTGTTGTGATGTTGTTATTGTTGTTGTTCTCTTGGTCTGGAACCGGGATGTCACGACGTTATGATTCACGGTTATACAATATGCAGTCTATTCATAGTTGAGTCTTAGTCTAATGGTAATCAGAGATCACCTAGGCAGATCATGAGATATTGGCAGTGTATAGTGTAGTGTATACTAGTAGAATTTTAAGTGTCCTCTGACCTGGTCATTCTAGTAAAGGGACACATGACACTACACTATACTACTAAAATGACACCGCACTAACTACACTGATATAAGACTACTAGTACCTATAGGCACACTAATAACATGACACTACTACTGCACTGCACTGACTGACTCATATGAATGCTGGCGCCTTTGGGAGAGGCGCATGGAGGCTGAAACAAAGAGGTTGCTCCGCCCCTCAATGGAATAGTAATAAATAGTAATGTAGGCAAAGGGAATTAGATCATTTAGAATAAAAGATCTCTCTGCAAAGTACAAAGTACAAAGTGCAAAGTACAAAGTGCAGAGTGCAAAGTGCAAAGTAAAATACAAATACAAATACCAAGTCTTGATCCCCACTGTTCATCGAGTTAACTTCGACTCCACCTCCTCCACCTTCCTCCGCCCCCTCCCTCAATCACAACCTCTTCATGACGGATTTCTCTCCTTCGCTTCCTCATTCCCGGCCATCCGACTTCGCACCCTTTCGTCGATGGCCGATTGACTTGGTGTTGACCCTCCCTTCTCGCGCCGTGACTTGATTCCTCTGCGCCATCATGGGCAATGTCGCCAGTCGCCTCGACGATGCAGGAAACTTGTTCTTCAAGGATCAGAATCGATGTATGTCCAAGAACCGCAGATTCTATGCTTTGATTTCTACTCTTTCCACTCTTTTCACTCCTTCCACTCCTTCTACTCGCTTTCCCCCTCATACTAACAAACTCCGACCATAGTCTCGATCGCATCGGTCACCATCAGCAACTCCCGACGCCCTCTGTTAACCCTCTCCCCGAACGCGTTCCTGCGGTCAGGTATATAGCGAAGCGAGACCCAGGCGATGACACTCCTATTGAATATATCCAGGTAGGTAACCCCCGTGCGACCGCTGATTATACTGGTATCTCTGGCTCTGGCTAACCCGCGATCAACACAGGACCCCGATGTCCCTCCCTCCGCTGCGAGCCCGACCTTCTTGCTCCGTCTTTCAAATGACGAGGAACTCATCTTTAACTTCACCTTCATCCTCCGCCAAACAGCGACCGGTAACGTCGCGGGTTCCACCGTCAATGGAGTTGCGACCTCGCTCCCTGAGGTAGCCAACACCAACCTCACCGGGCTCACCTTCGCCCACGCGTCCAACTCCAAGGAACTAGACAACCTAATTACGCGAGAATTCCACGCCAACCCGAACCTTCAGAATAATTCCAACGTCCAGCTCATTGGCGATTTCTCGACCGATGGGACCCCTTCCGTCTCGTTCGAGTGGTCCTGGAGGTGGAAGCCTCCCAAGACGACAGAGGATAAAGGTGGTGGCTGGCGGAACAGTTGCAGCTTTCTGGACTACGATTCAAGGACCAACCGCCTCAATACCCTCGCGCATTTCTCCTTCTGGGTACACAACTCGATTCGGCCCTTGCCCAGTCCGCTGATGATGTCGCCGAAACTCGAGTTGCCCGTGCCTCCTCCCCGCAGTCGCATTCCTTCTACCCAGTCGGTCATATCACAGGCTAGTGATAGCGAAAATTTCTCGAACCCGAATCTCCCTTCCATCACCCCGCCTGAGTCTTCCGAGGGCTTGCCGCCGCCTCCAACTGCGCCCCCACCCCCACCTCCCGTCAAGGTGGACCTTGCTTCTCGTGCCGGAGAAGATATGAACGTCGAAGATGGACCCCTGTTCCGAGCCACGATGAAAGCCTTGGAACAGAAGACGGGAAATATGCGGACAAAAATAAAGAAGGTCCTGAAAAAGGCAGAGGCTGCGCAGTCCGCACAAATGACTTGCAACGACGCCATGGAGGGGTTCCTGGGTTCCTTGAACGAAGCATCGACATCTAATGCCAACGCTATTCAACCTGCTCTAGATCACTACTTTGAAAAGATCGCCCGTCAGATTCAACATTATGAACAGCTGAATGCTCTTCAGCTGCAGAAGCTCGTCATCGAGCCTCTGGTCAAGCTATACACTAATGATATCAAACAAGCGGAATCGAAAAAGAAAGATTTCGACGAAGAGAGTCGTGATTATTATGCCTACGTCAGTCGGTACCTCGGGCAGCGACAGGATTCGCTCAAGGAGAAGAAGCGCGCAGAGAGCGACTCCAAGTATCAGGCCAAGCGCCGCAACTTTGAATTGAGGCGCTTCGACTACTCGTCCTTCATGCAGGATCTTCATGGAGGACGCAAGGAACAAGAAGTCTTGTCGCATCTGACTAAATATGCAGACTTCCAAGCTAAGAATTTCTTGGCGGCTGCCAAGAAGATTGACGAAATGGTCCCTCAACTGGATTCTTTGGTTCATGAGGTTGGCCGGGCGGACAAGGAGTTCCAGTTTAAACGGACTGAGCGCGAGGAGATTCGCAGAGCTCTGGAAAAAAATAGCAACCCTTACCTTGAGCCCGATGCCACCGCCGGTCCCTCAAATGTGGCCGCTACTTCCACTACAGCCTCTAACGGAGCTGCTTCAAATGAAACTGAGCTTGGCCGAGCTGATAGCACCGGCTCTCAACTCCGGGGAGTTATCAGCAACAGCTCCTCCGTTTCGTCTCAGGCCAATGCCGGCTCGGTTAGTTCCGCTGCTGGCATATCTGCTCCTACAGGTAGTGCTGGATCTGCTAGTGGATCTGGTCAAAACCGGTTCAAGGGCATTCGTGATCTAGAGGAACCTACTTCCACCGGAATCGATCGTAGTGTTGGTCAGCAGCGAAAAGAAGGGTTGTTGTGGGCGCTGTCCCGTCCCGGATCACACATGGACCCGAAGGGTATCAACAAGCAGGCCTGGCACAAGTAAGTACTAATCTAGCCTCTTGGCATTTGCTTAGCTAGTTTCATAAACTAACAAACATCTTCCGCCCGCAGATTCTGGATTGTCTTGGACCAAGGAAAGCTCTCGGAATACAGCAACTGGAAACAAAAACTGGATCTGCACATGGATCCCATCGACCTTCGAATGGCGTCAGTCCGAGAAGCTCGTAATGCCGAGCGCCGTTTCTGTTTCGAAGTGATCACTCCCCAATTCAAGCGCATCTATCAGGCCACGTCGGAAGAGGATATGGCGACTTGGATTCGATCCATCAATAACGCGCTTCAAAGCGCCGTTGAGGGACGGAGTATGCCGCACGCGCCTCCCGTGTCTTCCTCGGAGAAGTCTTCGACTGGCCGTGATATCGGTTCGGTACTTACCGGGAAAAGCTCGTCGGTGTCTGGTCATCACTCCTACTCAAATAGTTCCAGCAGTGCCAGTGCCGGTGGCGTCAACCGCCGCACAACAGTTGGAGCAAGACCGAGCTACGTCCGCCATGACAGTAACAACTATGAGGAGAACCCGGCCCGACTGCTCCAAACGGTTCGTGACGCCGACGAGGGGAATAACTGGTGCGCGGACTGTGGATCCTCTTCCAAGGTCGAATGGGTATCGATCAATCTGGGCATTGTACTGTGCATCGAATGCAGTGGCATTCACCGATCTCTTGGCACACACATCTCCAAGATCCGATCCCTAACACTAGACGTGCACTCCTTTTCCAACGACATCGTCGAAATCCTCCTTCAAATCGGCAACCGCGTCAGCAACATGATCTGGGAAGCAACACTCGACCAATCGCTCAAACCAATCGCCAGCTCCACCCGCGAACAACGCCTAAAGTTCATCACGGCGAAATACGTCGACAGAGTTTACGTCGAGGGCGTCCCATCCCCACGCTCCCGCTTCGCAACACCAGACGAAACCCTCCTCGCATCCGTCAAGAAAAACGACATCCAAGGCGTGCTCTATGGCATCGCGTTGGGCGGTAATGTGAACGTCCCCGATCGTTCGAGAAGTACACCGGCTATATTCCTCGCTCTGGCCGCAACCGACCCCGCCACGCCCGGCTCAATACCAACGCCCACCCCGACTTCCTCTCTCTCCGCCCGCTCCGCCGCAAAAGCAATCCCCTTCCCCATTGCCGAACTGCTGGTTCAGAACGGCGCGGAGATTCCTCCCCAACCACCCTCCATCCCCCTGTCCCCGGCCGCACAGCTATACCTCAGTCAGCGCGTTACGCGGAATCCGGGCTTCAGCGCCCCTCCCGTCCCTAGTGGTGGGAGATCGGTGCTAACCCCCAATGATACCCTCGGCTCGCTGCCGACTATTCGCTCTGCGAGTAAGGATAGCTCGTCTGCTTCTTCTGTTGCGTCGCAGGCGCCGGCTGGGGCTGGTGGCTCGGGCTCGGGCTCGGGCTCTGCGGAAAGGGAGAAGGAGAAGTTGTCGAAGCGTGGGAGTGCGGGGGCGAGGTTTGCGGGGAAGGTTGCTTCTCTTGGAATTGATCGATAAATCAAATCACTGCAACCTACTTTTGCAAAGTACATGGATTGTTTTTGGTTTTATTTTGTCTGGCGACGTTGGTGCTTTGCTTAATTCTAATTATATCCTCCCTTCCTCCCTCACTCACCTCACTTACCTCACTTACCTCCCCCCATCCCATCCTGCTCTAATGAGACTCGCATGAACATTTCTTTTTTTCTTTCCTTGATGATGATGTTTTCTGTTTCCTGTTTGTATGGCTTGGCTTGGCTTGAAATTTTGTATTTGCCCTTTTTGGGCTGTGACGTGGTTTCTTTTGACGCTGTCTCTTTCTTATGCCCCCGTAGCCTGGCCATTCTTCTTTTTTTTCTCGCTGGAGTGGCCTTTTTGATCGCGGGAGATGATAGCCCCCACCCCCCTTCTTCTTTTCGTGTTCATCTGCCATACCGATGTTGGATTGGATTGGCTTTTCTTTACCTTGCCCTTGATTAACAATGAATCTGTTTTCAATGGGATTTTTTTCTTTTCCTCTCTCCCCTTTTCTTCTCTATGGTTGTATGTTCTCCTACTTCTACTCTACTTTACTTTTGTCGTTGAATCAACATCTGGTTTGACGGCACTCGTCTTCTCCGAATGGACGCTCAAGTCGGAGAACCTCTTCCCTTATCTGGTATTGATGTATGATTCCATGGCTTAGCTCCCATTTAATGGAACTGGCTGTTACCTTCGGAACTGGAACCGTGTTCTTTTCCTTTTAGATTTTGGGGAGCAGTTTAGTGGTAGGATATACAGTGCCCTATATGACGAATCGAATATACCAGATTTGCCTGTAAATCTAAAACTTGAAGGGACTCAGGACCTGGATGTTGTGTTTGGTATCTACATAGCTCTTGTGTTTGGGGCTCAGGGACCTTACTTACTTACCCCTTGTGCGAGCGGCCCATGCGAATCAAGGATTCATCCCGTAGATAAAAGTACATCATCTATACAAAGCAGTCAAAGCTGCCAGTGGAGATTGGGTTTAAGCCAATGCATAGATTAACCTAGGTCCAAGTTCCGACCCTTTGCGTGGCTGGCGGGTATACCTCCAGTATGTATGTATTCTATACCTCAAAACCCCCCGTCTGACACCCGCCTAATCTGTCAATGTGACGGGCTACTAGTAATCTGTAAGGCCTGGACTGGACTGCGCGGACTCTACTTAATCAATCACATGGTTGAGCAGGGCTTTGATCCTGACCCGCATAAACGCTACTCGATTGGGATTGGGATCAAATACTATGCACTGTATGTATGTATGTACGGTTCTCGACTTCGACTCGGAAGGCCTATCACCCGGACTAGGTATGTCGCTGCCTGAAAGTGGCGATGTTTTTCCTAGTCTCCTGAGCACGGCCGAGAGCCTGGCCTAGCCTATGTACATACAGTAGTATCTAGGTCACGGTCCGGACCGGATCGGATCTGGATTCGTGCATATCTACACACCTGCAATTGCACCTGACAGTGATGGGAGGCGGTGGCGTCTGGCGTTTAGCGCCAACGTAGATCTGTAAACTCACATTGTGGAAGTGGAAGGGATATAGTATCCGTACTCGGGCCAAAGTACCCTGCTACACTCCGTGCAGGCGGAGGCATTATCAGGTCAAATTCCAAATCATGATCCACCCAGTCCCAGTCATAGCCCAGCCCTACCACGACCCTGATTCTGATTCTGATTCTGATCCTGATCCTGATCCGATCCTACTGTGAGACATGGAATGTATGTACAATGTCGAGCTCTGAACGAAAACGAGCGGAAGGGGACATCCGTGAAGGGGGCGGGGGAAGGGAAGCCCGGCCCCTGCTCAGCTCAACAGCATTTCCCCAATCCAATCACGGGGGACAGATCTGCCATGATCGGCCTCAGGGTTGCGCAGCTCGAGTTAGTACATACATGTATGTACAAACATGTATGTACCTACAGTATGTACATACTTACCATGCACCTACCTCCGCGGGGCTATGCGGCGGTCCAAGAGCGAAAGCGAGCAAAAGCACCATCGCAGCATAGTCAACATGCACAGCCCCCACGGCCAAAGGAGTACTGTAGCATGTACTGTAGCCATGGACGAGCCAGATCGAAGGCTGATCAATGGGTTCTAGGGAGTTATTGGTTCATCGTGATGACTGGGCCAAGGAAACTATACTCAGTCGGGCTTTGCTAAGGGCCTGTCGGTAATAAGCATCTGCAGGGATCGGACAAGGTCCTGTACGGTGCTGTGTGGAACTGCATAGACTACAATGTACAGTACGGAGTACTCCGTACTGTGCCAGGAGATACTGACCTGACCAGACCAGACCAGTTTTCTGGTGGCGATGTACAGCATACAGTAGTACCTTTGCTCACTGGACGGAGGTCTCAGGTCCGAAGGCATCATTGTGACTTCACGCGATGCTGGCGATCAATGTGGGTTGGGTTGGGTTAGGTTGGGTTGGGCTGGGCTGGGTTAGTAATTGTGGTGATATTCGCAGTTTTACATCAGTGGCGAGAAATGGTCCTCGGAATATCTAACGGTGTCTCAACTCAATTGGAGCTCACATTCTGCGGGAAGGTGGTTGACAAACGTCGGTGGTGGGAAAAATGCGTCGTCATTGGTTGAGTGACTCAGGAACGGAGTGTTGGCGGCGAAATGACGTCATGTTTCTGCCTATCGCCCACCGCCCCCTCGAGGGTGGAGTGCCTGAGGCATTTTTGTGCTGATCTCGAGGTACGGAGGACCATACGAATGGGAAAGTGCTGATCGTTTGGGTTTGGCAGAGAAGGTCTAGCGGGTTATCTCCGATGTGTAGATTTGGTCACGCCAGGGTTGTAAGGTGTCGTGTCGATGGTGGGATTTGTATGGAGTATGGAGTGGGTGGCTTTCCACTGCATGGGGCGTGTAGAGTGGCATTGGCATTGGCACTGTATTGGCATCGGGTGGGCTTTCGAGTCATTTGGTTGGGTGATCGAGGTACTTCCATTCGGTCTGAATCATATTTGTCTTTGTTATCTCGATACTGGTACACCGTACCACGGATTGTCGTCCTCAAAAGTTGTACCTCGGAGATGAGGTTAGTTCGGCGAAGTGCGTATAACTGGGGCTCGGGAGCTTCAGTGGCAAAGGGAAATACCCTTGAGGGCCTTTACTGGCTCATGGTGATTTCCAATGGGTGATTTCTAATGGATGAATTGGGTCGATGGGTACGTGTGTATGTGAGTCACATGATATGGAGAAAGAATCCGGGGAACAGACACCACCGATTATTGGCAAACAAGGGTCTCGTTTGCTAGTCAGTTCTGGCAGGTGGGTATATGGTGTAATATGTACACGAGAAAGCAAAAAGCTCGATAGGAAGGATAGTGTTGGAAAGAGCGGGTGCAGACATGTCACATACCTATCTCCCACGGGGACCACCCGGGCACCCCGAGGGATTCTATACTTCTGCCTTCTGATCTCTACTCTCAATCTTGAGCTTCGTACTTCACACATCTCATCGCCACCATCCCACCCTTCCCCACATCTTCTATAATTGCCACCGCAACCTGCTACTAAGTACTTATGGAGATCTTATGGGGACAGCAGTTACCCTTGATCAAATGGCATACAATGAATGACAGGAGATCATCGTGTGGATATTATGATTGGACGGCATCTCCAACCGAAAGTGGGTCCATAACGACCTCCGACCTCGCCTGCTTCGTCTCTCGCGTCTCAAGCTTCCACACCGGCCCATTTCCCACAATTCTAGAGCTTCCAATTGGATGATTCTCCTGACCGCGACTGTCCACTCTCACACGCTTTCTTGTTTCGCCTGGCCATCAGTGGGGTACCGTTCCAGAAATGCTGTGCCCTACGGAGTACAGTACATTATTCAGTTCCCACCTTGCAAGACTCATGAGGTCGAAATACACCTTTTGCGGCGGGAACCCGCCGCACCCGACAGAGTGGTCTGATCGACCTGGTGCCTTGGGTCGCCTCCGAGACTCTAAATCGGACTCGGTACCCTGTGCGACAATACTGCAGACGCGTCTCAAGGATTTTCGACAGCTCTGTATGCCGTTCTTCCTGGCTTGCATGGACCTAGAAGGAATGATTGAATTCCTAACCCTAACGTGGTAATCGCTTGGGCCGCGCCACCACGGGATTCGAGCGGATTGGGTTCCACTCCATTCAGGGTGGGATCATAATCGAGTCTAGTGGGAGCGTACTGGCTGAACCCAAAGTATGCGCGGCCCAACATTGGCTTCTTTACGCCGATTCTCGACTCTCTCTTATTCTCCCCTTGCGCCAAACAAAGCCCCCGTTTCAATTCACGATAAGCCAAACCCCCCGGCATTTTGAGCGCTAGCGTTCCAGGTGTAGATTTCTTCCGGAATGCTCCTATCCAACCGGGCAAAGAGCCGGTGAATGGCGCTTTAACGATATTACTCTTTCTGTAATTTTTTTTTAGGTTCATTTTTATTTCCTCTTTTTGATTGTGTACACACTTGTACCATCTCCACCTTTTCCCCCCCTTCGAACCCCATCCTGACCCATCCCTGACAGTGGCGAACTGGAACACCACCGCCACAGCTTGTGCAGCCACCATTGGATGCTCGAGTTTCTAAATTCGTGCCTTTCTACCCCAATTAGTCGAGGTACCTCAAACGCCAATCGCACTTATTTTCCTCAGCCTTCGTGGGGACCCCCCTCCTACAAGGTCTCCATCAATCTCCATTCATGATCGGCAAATGCCTTTTTGCCTCTACGGAGTAGCCTCGTGGCTTTGACAAATTCCAGTGACATGTTCATATCATTGGTCTGTGAGCCAAGACTTTGTGTTTTTTTTTTTCTCTTTTTCCATTTTCGAAATAATATGCAATGCGTATCCGCGGATCGTCAAGCCTCAATTCCCCACGGCCCTCATCAAGCCACTTCCACTTTTCCGCCTGATTTGAAAAAAAAAGTCCTCAACGATTCCAAGATAAAAATAATAAAGCACCTCCACCACTGAATGACAAGCATTTGTCACTGCAAGAGATCCCGAGACGTGGATCAGCGGAGGGCAGTTCCTCTCCCTGGAAACCCATCAAATCCAATTGACACACCCGCTGGTTTGCCCACAACATCCTCGACCCACTGAGGGTATACTCATCCGAACCGTGCCAAAGGGCTATCTCCGATCCTCTTCGGTCCCATCCGCACTGGAGACCGGTTCTTGAGGTACTTGATCCCAGCCATCTGTCACTCTTCAGCCACATCTGCCAAGGAGACATCCGGTGCCCGAAGTCCATCGAGTCCGCCACTGGGTCACAGATAAGTTCGAGGGCTGTCAGCAAGGCATCAGTGTGTGTGTGTTGTGCGTGTGTGTTGCGTGTTCATGTGGAATTGGGGCTCTTTTCTCCATTTTGCCTCTCTTTTTTTCCCGCTCGTGAGCAACTATTGCTGCATCCACTCGGCTTTCTACGGCGAGCTATATCTTCGTCAACCCGAGGTCTAGCCCCGGGGTCGATTTTCGACTGCCCTTACATTATATTTTAGCTCAAGGTGTGTGCGCATTGTCGCAGGTCACCCCTCGGCTTTCTTCGTTGCATCTCTAAAGTGACAGTGTCCCCAGGTCAGCTTGTCCTGCCCAATTGTCTCTGTCCCCTCCCCCCTCCAATCCACTTTAACTGGTCACACAGACACTTGCACTTTGGCCTTGTCCTCCTATTCTCGTCCCGTTCCCGTCTGGAGCCAAAATCTCGGTATGTTTTCTTATTTTCTTATGTGTTTTTTCTTTGGTACAGGCCCCTCAATTCCCCCTTTGATGAAGTTTCCTGCCCTCATCGCCTTTGAAATTGCTTCCATTCTCTAACGGAAGGACTTCCGCCGAGCTTGATTGGAAAGCGAAGACGAATAGTTTCATTTTGGTGGAGTTTCTCCCTCCCGGGGCTGCTTGGCTAAGCCCTATCTGGCCCCGGCGGTGCATGATTTCCCCAAAAGGCCAAAGTTCAAGCGAGGGCCAGGCAAATGGGCATCTTCCTGCTGAAGCCCCCGGAAGATAAACCAACGCCCCCTTTGCGGCCCCCCGAGGGATTGACACTTGGCTCTCCACTAACGTGACTATCTGCGCACATCCGAGTCTATATTTCCCTGTTTACCTCGTCCCACCTGATGGATTTTTTCTGGCATTTCTCTTACTGCCTTCCAACATGAGCCACATAGTGGCGTTCTTTTTGGAAGAGCACACCGGTTCATCTTCGCTGGCAGTTATGATGCATGCAATCCCAATACTGCTGCATCGTCACTGCTACCCCCCCCCCCTCTACCCTCCTCCCTCCCTTGCGAAGTGAACCCTAACGCACTGAGATTGATTCCTTGTTCTCGAGCCCTTTCGCTCATCTGGCAGACCCCATTTTTTCCAAGCACATGGCGAGGCACATTGTTGTTCTCTGCTGTTAGCTCGTCTCGCTTCTCACACCGTGGCTTTTGTTTCTTTACTTCCCTCATGAGTCTTCCATTGACGATTCTCTTCTTTCCGGATAGCACATTTAACTTCAAGCGTCTGCTGTGAATCAAATTTCCTCCCGTCAGACCGTGGAATTTGACAATACACACAAATATATTGATCTATTGTGTGGAAATACATAATAACTCCTATCCTACGCTCCTGGGATTCGGGATTTTGAGGTATGTCGGTGGTCATTGAGATCTTTTGATTTTGAGCGGGCCACTGACTTTCTTTTCGTCTTTTCCAACTGTAGTCTGTGTGTTTTACATTCAGCTTCCTTGGTCTCGTCTCACGAACCGGGCTCATGGGTGATGTTTCTTCTGGAAAAATTAACCCAATCCAAGGGACTGATGGGGTACCCGCGACATCACAGTCCAATGTTTCGAGGCGAACTTCAACACCAGGTATGTCTCTGCTCTTCGGATCTATCCAAGCAAGTCCTCAAAAAGGCAGAAGAGAAGCACACACTTACTCGGATTCTTCCACTTGCGATAGGAAACACAAAGACTAGCCAACCCGCCCAACCAGCACCAGCACCAACACCGACACCCATCAACTACTCATCAAGCCCATCGGGCTACCCACCCCATGGTCGATATGCACCTCCGTCTTCTATGAACATGGCCAACATGGCTTATGCTCTACCTGGCCATCAATCGACTGGTTTGCCGTTCGAACAACAGCACCACCTGCATCACTACCCCGCCACCCACGCCCAGGGGATGATGTACCCTATGCAATCAATGGGACATTATCCCGGTCAACACCCAACCGGTGCTGTCCCTTACGGTATCCCATATGCTCCAAACTTTCCTCCATACGCCATGCCTCAACATCCGGGAGCCGCTCAACACGGGGGGTCATTACCCTTCGTTCGTCCCCAACCCATCGTTGCAGAATATGACTGGGCATTCCCCTTCATATGGGCCAGGTTACTACCACCCGGGCTACAATGTACCCTACGGGCCTGGGGCCCTTCCCGTGGCGGCTCCAATGCGGCAACCGCCTCGTCAGGGCTCAACCTCGGCCTCTCGGGGATCATCTTCCACAAGTCCTTCCAAGCGGGATGTGGACAGGCGGACAGCGGAGGAATACGATGTTTCGAAAACCATCGTGGACGGTTCTAACCCAATGAAGTTGGCCGGCCCGAACGCTTCTGGTAAATGGTTCTAATAATCTATCAGATCATGGTTCTGATCGCAGTTTTAAAGTTGTTGCTAACGCTCGTACCCCAAACAGACGCAACCCCTTTATCCTACACAGCACCTTCATCGCCAAATCCGCCCCGAGGACCCCCGCGAAAGCCCAAGCAATCTGGCCATGCTCTCTGGGTCGGAAACCTACCGCCAGGCGCGAGTGTAATCGATCTGAAAGACCATTTCTCGCAAGACGCCACCGACGATATCGAAAGTGTGTTCTTGATCTCTAAGAGTAATTGCGCGTTTGTCAATTATAGATCTGCTCTTGCTTGTGCGGATGCTTTGGCGAGATTTCATGATTCACGCTTCCATGGCGTGCGTCTTGTCTGTCGGTTACGGAAGGGGTTTACGGCTCCTGGGTCTGGATCTGGGTCGGCATCGATGGGGCTTAGTGGTTTGGGATCACGACTTCGAACTGAGGAGACTCTCGACCCTCCATCTAGCGGCGAGGCTATAAATACAGACCCGGAAACGGGACCGGGTCCCACCCATCCAACTCAGGATGGGAACGCCCGATCTATCGACCGATATTTCATCGTCAAGAGTTTGACCGTGGACGATCTTGAACTCAGCAAGCAGAGTGGTATCTGGGCAACTCAGACTCACAACGAGACCAGTCTGAACCAAGCCTTCGAAGTAAGTATTCGATTCGATTACAATCCAAGTTCCGCCCCGGGACTCATTTTTTTTTTATACTCGAACCGACTGATTCTAACCCGGTTCTTTCTTTCTTCCTTCCCTAGACTACAGAGCACGTCTACCTAATCTTCTCCGCAAACAAATCAGGCGAATACTTCGGCTACGCCCGAATGCTATCACCAATCAGCGACGACGAAGACCTAGCCCTAGAAATGCCGCCACGACCAGACCCAGTACCAGGCTCCGCCCCGATCCCCGAAGAACTCGAAATGACCCTCACGCCCGCAACATCGAACGCGCCCAAGGGCCGCATTATCGACGACTCGGCCCGCGGCACGATCTTCTGGGAAGTCGAGTCTCTCGAAGACGAGACGGACGATGCGCGCAGCGAGCGCAGTGTTGAGGGATTACTTTGTCTCGAGGACGGCGAGGCGGAGGGTCAATCTTTTGGCAAGCCGTTTCGCATTCAGTGGTTGTCGACTGAGCGGGTGCCGTTTCATCGGACGAGGGGATTGCGGAACCCGTGGAATGCGAATCGTGAGGTCAAGATTGCGCGGGATGGGACCGAGATCGAGCCGAGTGTCGGCCGGAAACTTATTCAGTTGTTTCACTTGTCGCTTTCTTGATGGTGAAATGACCCGATGGTCCGGCCTGAGAGCCGGGTCTTTTTGGGATGGAGTGAGGGCGGGCTGAGGGGCAATGTGATGGGTCTGATTGATACTTGTCAGTCATGCATGTGTGGCCCGATCTGGCTCTTTTATTCTATCCTGGTGTATTCTGCCGATGCAGATTCTGATGGGGTGGGAATAGGAATTGGGGACTGGGGACTGGGTCGGTGCTGTGCTGTGCTGTCTATTGTCTTTTTCAGTCTGCATTGTGATCAAGTTGACGATGACAATAGGTGGCGTGGAGAATAAAATATGGGAAACGAGTAATACACGATGTACGTTCATTTCAATCTTGATGATTTTTCTTTTCTTTGTCTCTTTCGATATACATATTTTACCTAGTGGGGATTTTGGTCCCTCGAGTGATAATTATATCTTGCCTACCCTGGGCGTGTATTAGTATTAGTGCTGCGTACTTTAATCCCCCCTGATAGATGTCCCACGGCTTTTCACGAGGTTCCCTAGGCTCGTTGGCCGCTGCTATAAGAATGGTGCTGGTCCTGGGTGTCTTTTTCAGCTTAAACTTTTTATGGTCTTGTACGGAGTACATGGTAAACGACGCTCTCCTCTAGGAGAGGGGGGGAATGATTGTAAGAGCAGAGCACTTGACAGCACTCTGCAATAATTGTATCAAATTCATTTACTTATTAAAAACACAATATGGTAGCCCTAGCCTACTGGACAAAGAATTACTTCGGGCATGGGTATCAGGCATCCATGCTATGACATCATTTGCATACTATCCTTGCTCTTATGCCTAGTACAATGAATCAATGACTTACATAGAACTTGTATTTTTTTGATCTTGATGTGCAGATTGTCCCAAGGAAAATGCTGTCGAATCGGCCGTCTGTGACAGAAACAGTCGGCGAAGCAATTTACTTGTGTCAGGTCTTCAACACTGTGCGCATTGAATAACCTTCTCCCTACACTGGACACACAACTGGTGACAATATTTCTAAATTGACAGAGGGAGCCTCTTGGCTCACAGGAGAAGAATATAGTCCTCATTACGCAGGATTTTGTTTCTTTGGCGACCTATGGTTGGGCTGTGATGGGGACTGATTATTGATTACCAGCCTTTAAGGGACTTCTTGAATGAATTAAGGTTGGGACCTAATACAGCCCAGTACCCAAGGTGGCAGGTGCTGTAAAGCAAACCTGATATTAGGAAGCGGGTGAAGGTGTTTCTTGCACTACTGAGGCCTCAGGCTTGCGACTGACTCATCACTTCATTGGTTGTTGTTTTGTCGTTTGCAGTCCGTTTGCATGTAGGTAGAGCCAGTCGAGGTGTTGCGTGAGGGGTTTTCCGTCTATAGCCATTCTAAACCATCTTTCCTTTTCATCTGGGACAGTTTGAGCGGCATACTTGAGATGAAAGAGGAACAGTGGACGGTATATTGATATCCATGCCTTGGTATTCAGGCATTAACATATGATTCCTTACAGTCTTGGCAGTATATCATTTAGCACCAGTATTGTGTCTTCTTTATTCTTTCTTATCTTACAATAAATTGAATACCTAGGTACTGAATAATCTGTTCTAGAAAAGAATTACCCTTTTTCCACTAGCATTATAATAATGCTATATTATGGCTCGGTTATACCACCACGCCACACCACACCAGGCAATGATGATGGTATGATTGTGTACGGAGCAGAGAAACGTACGATGTGTATCGGCTGGACTGGCAAATAGGCTTATCGCTAGCAGAGTTTACCAAGTTAACAAAGTTAAGACAATGCAGATGCAGAGTGAATTAACCAACCATCATCCAGGGCAACCCCCACTTTCCGTCTTCCTAAAGCGGTACGCCGGTCAGAGAGAGATGAGTGGCTGTGAGGTGGATTTATGGCATCACCATTTATATCCACTTTGCATAGACCTATCCCATTAGGATACAGAGTAATCTACAGAGTATCTCCACCGCCGGATACGACAATAGCGCCACTTCCCCGGAATTTGGGCTAAGCTTAGCTTTCTCAAGGGCCCCTCCTTTTAGCACATCCCCATTCTTACTCTCTTCCCATCCCTGCAATTTGTAACCCTACTTCATTCTCTCCCACACACAACTCATTTCTCTCTTTATTCCCCTCTTTACTCTCCCCCCCCGCTTTATCTTCTGTCTTCCCTGCTTCCTCTCGTCTCTCTCTCTCTCCCAGAGCAGCTTCCTCTCTCCCAGCAGCTTCCGGTCTTTCAGCCATCGACGCTGCTTATTCTCTCTCCTCCATTCGACTTCTCTTGCATGTGAAGGGCGGCGAGTCCGTCCGACTTCCTCTTCTCATCCTCATCACCATCACATTCCCATTCACTTCCACCTCTGTACTACCTACCTCACCTCCCGCCACCTTACCCTTACCATATCTCATCGTGAATCATGTCCAACGACCGTTCCTCCCCTATCAACGTCCCTGAGCCCGAGTCTCGCCCTCGTCGAGCTTCCATCGCCGATCTCTTTTCAAAGCAGCCCGCGAGCAACTCGTCGAGACAACCCAGCCAACAGGCAAACCAACGACGCCTGTCCATCACCACCCTCGGGCTATCCGGTTCCCCCACCCAAACCTCAGCCTTTGGAAATCAGCACTTCCGTCGAGGCAGCATGTCTAGCTCCCTCGGCTCCGCCCCAACCGAAGACGCCGTCGCTGATGACCCCGAGGGCTCCTCACCCGGTGCCACCCCCAGCTCACCCTGGGCCCGAAGAGTTTCCTTTGGTGCACAAGCCCTCCGTGAAGCCCGTGCCGGAAGCATAAGCAACGGTAGATACCCTCCCCGTTCTGGTTCTGGCTCTGGTCCTGCCTCTGCCTCTGTTTCTGGTGCCTCTGTTCCTTCGTCACTGGCAGGGGTGCGCCGCTCGCCTCCCTTGGGAAGCGCCAGCGGCCCCACCCCTGCCCAACCCCGATCTTCCGCAAGTATTCAAGCGTCTCCACTGGAAGAGAAATCTAACCCGTCGCGCCGAGTAGGCGAAGGTTTCAACTGGTCGGAAGCCCTGCGTTCGCGGGCCGAGCGTGCCCCGTCCATCGGCGGTCCCATCTCGCCGCAGAATCCCTCGGCGAATCGTTCCCACAATCACCAACGTGCCGCCTCCATTGCCTCCATGGAGCAACCTATTCGGGAAATTCCCAAGCAACCGAAGCAGAATAAGCCCGATTTCTTCCAGGAGAAGATTCTACGTGGTGACTTTATGGATTAGATGGGAGTGGTTTGGCTGGGTATTTTCTTTGCATACATCTCCTTCGCCTCCGAGTGCTTTTGGAATGAGCGGCCTGTGGTCGTCGGCATCGGGGGGCTGGGTTCTTTCTTTTGTTGCCAGCGTGCCTTTCTCTATGTGATGTGTTTCTACTACATTCCCCAGTGGGGCCTTGACTTGAAAATGGTTTCAATTATCCATCTGTCTCTTTTTTTCCTTCTGTCTTTTTCTTTTTCTTTTACCATTTCTATGTTTATGCACCTGGTGATAAGCGAGGAGAAGATTGATTTTATTTGGTTTGGTTTGGGCTGGGCTGGGCTGAGCTGGATTGACTGGCCTCTGGATGCTCGTCATTTATTCCGCGTTGATTCGTGCTTATCTTTCTTTGTTGATGTTCTTCAAGAACTTGTCTTTACTACTTCAGCCTCATCCTGGTGTTGAGGATTTGATTTATTCTGATTTGATGGTATGGTATCTGAACACCAAATTGACATGATAGTTTCTTTATTGAGCAAAACCATAACTGATTCCATCGTAATCCCACCCTCTCTTTCATCATTCTGAAGTGTATATACTACGCAATTCATGAGTATGATCTACCTATCTCATCATTCATATCGTCATCAACTTCCCATCTTCATCCCCACTCGCCTCTCACTTTGCCTCTCGCCTCCCGCCACTCAACCCCTACTATAACTAAATAATATCAACTAACTACCAGAAGGCCCTGCAACAGCAGGTCCAGCAGCAGCATCCTCCTCATGCATATGAACCGGCTCTTCAGCCTTATTATTCCCACCCTCCTCCTCCTCCCTCCCCAACCCCTCCGCCAATCCACGATCCATAAGCTGAGCCGTAGTAAGCTGGTGCTCCGGCGCCGGCGCCTCCCACTTACTACTCTCCCAAGGCTTAACGCGCATAACATACATCATATCCATCTCCTCAAGCGTCTTGTCCTTACCCTCGATAACAAAGAAGTAAACAGTGAGCACAGCGAAAAACAAACACCCCGCAAAAACATACCCATACGCAAAATCAATATCATGCGTAATAAACGGCGTAAAGAACCCAATCAAGAAGTTCCACAGCCAATTCGACGCCGTGGCCATGGCCATTGCGCGTGCGCGGTACCGCGATGGGTATAATTCTGCGACGATTGCCCAGACCATGGGGCCCCAGGTCATGGCGAAGCCGGTGATGAAGAGGCACGCGAAGACGACCATGGCCTTGCCGGCGCCGGGGGTGTTGGCTGGTTCGTTGATGTCGAGGCTGTAGTGGCCTACTGAGGCGAAGATGAGGAAGCAGATGAACATCCAGATTCCGCCGGCTATGAGGGATTTGCGCCGGCCGAAGTGCTCGATTACGTAGAGGCCGCCGAAGGTTGTGCCGAAATTTACGCCGCCGAGGATCATCTGTGTTACGTATGTGTTGCTTATTCCTGCGCCGTTGAAGATGACCGTGCCCTGGGGTCCAAAATTAGCGGGATTTGGTCTTCGTTGTATGGGTAATTAAGGGTAAGGGCTGGGCTGGGCTGGGCTGGGGTTGTGTATCAACTCACGTAGTAGAAGAAGTAATTGGCGCCGGTTAATTGCTGGAACATCTGGAGCACTACGCCCAGGGCAATTCTGTACGGCATGCGCGGGGCTTGGAACATCTCAACCCAGCCATGCCAGCCGCCCTTGGAGCCTTTCTCTGCTTCCTGTTGTTCTTGGATTTCGAGGAGTTCGTGCACGATGACGCGGTGGGATTGCGGGACGCCGTAGAGCTTGGACATTGTCTTCTTGGCCGTTTCGGCGCGCCCGTTGCGGTAGTCGAATCGTGGGCTTTCGGGGAAGAGAAGGATTCCAAAGCCTAGGAGTAGACCCCAGAGGAATGTTATTCCTAATGGGATGCGCCAGCTGGCGGTGTTGTCGATGGACTCGGTGCCGAAATTTATGCAGTATGCGACGAAGATGCCCAGCGTTACGAAGAGTTGGTATGAGCTGGGGTTGTCGTTAGTTGAGTTCAGCTGATTGGGAAAAGATGGATGCTTGCGCTGCTAATTGATGACTTACCAAACCATTGCGCCGCGAATGTGTCGAGGCGATATCTCGCCTTGATACATGGGTACTAGGAGTGAGCAGGCGCCGACGCCGAAACCAGTTACGAACCGGCCCATCATCATTTGGTACCATTTTCCAGCCGGGGCGGTGATTTGGATTATCAGCCCGACGTGTAGAATGATACACCAGGCGAAGATGGACCATTTACGTCCGATTCGGTCGGCTAGGGGTCCGGCAATGAGTGCTCCTATCAATGTGCCGATTGAAAGCTGTGAAGAGTTAGATAAATGAGGATAGATGTGGTGTGGTGCAGCGGTGCATACCATTGAAACAATCAGTCCGGACCGAACGTTACTGAATTCGTAAGAGCCATCTGATTTGAGCTGTGCGTAGCGCTCTTTGTAATTCTTCATCTCGAGAAAGCCCGATATCTGGCCGGTGTCGTAGCCGAAGATTATACCGCCGATTGAGACGAAGGCGCCTAGTGTTAGGGAGCGCCATGTTACCCATGGGATCTTGGATTCGTCAAAAGAGCTGCTTCGGCGCTTTTCATCGGTGTCGTTTGAGAGGTCGGTTAGGGGAGGGGATTTTGCTCCGGGGTTGTTGAGTTCTTTGTTTGTGAAGGGGTTCTTCATTGTGGTGGGTGAGTTGGTGATATCTTCACGGTTTCAATGTTGATTTGGTGATGGATTGGTTATCATGTCCTTGTGGAGGGACAATTGATTATGAATATGGAAATTGAAAACGAATATGAGAATGGAAATGAAAAAAAAAGACGTTGATCTCTCGTCTTGGGAATAGGTAAGTGGCGGGGTATGCGTGTCAATGAGCGCATGGCAAGGCGTTTGCCTCTTTTAAGGGCTACCCTCAATCGCAGGTGGTTCTGAATCATAGCCTTGCCACGTCCGGCGCATTGGAGAATGGAGTTCGTCATTGATTGGAGCCACTTTGAGCAACAGCTAGCCCTAGTGGCAGTGGATACTGTGAGCAGGTAGTAATTAAGCTATATCTACTAGTTATATTGACATGGATGCTGGTAGTAGTAATTAATTTGTCTGAGATGCAAGGCACACACCATCTCCTACACTCCGGCCCAACCTATTACACTACAAGGATTATCCAGCCTCCCCGAGCGTGAACCATTGTTGATGAACTTATTAGAATCGAGGCTGATTCCGTCATCAGATTGCTGGTGGCTAGAAAGTCGTGACGTCAACCACCCGCCCTTTGTCAACAATGATCGACCGGGGAAACCTTGTGGCGAACTTTATTTGCTCCGAAGATGAATGGATGGTTGAAGGAGAGGCGCTAGGTGATTTTGGTTTGGGCCAAATCACGGCGATGGTATGGTCTGGTAGTGCACCTTGGAATCTGAACGGGAGGCTGCGGGAGGCTGGTTCAAACGTTTCTAGAATAGACTACACTACAGCTACAACTGGAAAGAGATCGATAAATAAAGTAAATCAGGATATATTAATCAATCGGTCCGAAAAGGCATCGACGAAGAAGAGAAAATTAAGGCCACACAGGTACTATCTACTCCACTTAGTAGGGAATTCCGTTCGTCATGAGCTGGAACTGGTCATATCCCTTGGTAGAAACACTCATATAAGACTTGCGCACAAGATCCCGCATATACTCCGCAGCATCGCGCTCATTCTTCTCGAGAACAAACCGGGCCCGGAAATTCTGCAGCGTTTCAGGCTTGAAGCACGGCAGCCCGCTATCAAGCATCAACGACACGATATGCGCCAGCTTCGTACAGTAGGGTCGCGAGGCCAGGAAGGCCTTCACCACCAGCGACTCGAACCAGCGGTAGGGCTGGGTGTTGGTCGGGTTGTGCGAGTTATGTCCCGGCAAGCTGATACCCGAAGTGCCGCTAGGATGATGTGCGGGATTGTGGGTGCCGCTCATCACGGCCACCATCTCCGACGTTAGTTTGAAAGGTGCGCGTTCGAATCGGACGCCGCCGGGTGCGATATCGAAGCAGAAGCCGAAATCGATGTGGATGATGTGGCCTGCGTCGTCGACCATGATGTTACCGTTGTGTCGGTCTTTGAATTGGAGGAGGAAGGAGATGACCGAGTACGCGGCCATACTCTTGACAAAGTTGGTGCGTGCTTCTTGGAAGCGGATTGAGTCTTCGCCGCCGTATTTCGAGACGAAGTAGTCGTAAAGACCATTGACTGCCTCGCGGCCCAACATATCGCGGGAAATTGAATTCGGCAACACATCGATCACACCGCATCCAGGCGCGGTGGATGTGACTCGGTATGGGAATACCCAGACGTCGAGGCCAACGCTGGAGAAGATGCTGCGGAAGGCTGCGATCATCTGCAGGGCAAGCATATCTTGACGGCAGTCATCACCGACCTTGAAAATGGCCGATTGCCAGATTTCATATGTCTCCTGCTCGGCTTCCTTCGTGCGCACGGATACCTGGCGCTGGTGGCCGGCCTCGTGGACCAGGGCAGCGGCCTTGGCATCTAGACGAGGTCGAGTCTTTTGGATACGGAAAGTAGCCATGTAAGGCGCCTTTGCGTGACTTTGAAGCGGTTTTCCGGACTTGCGGTCGATTCCAACAACCACACCATCGGGGTTACTGGGGAGATAAACTCCGACTTCAACCTTGATCTTGCGCAGCTCTTCTTCGATCTTCTCCTTTTTCTCGGGCTTGCTTCTCTTGATGTAAGGACGAAGCTTACCTGAGACACCGGTAACTTCACTGAAGAAGGAGAATTCTCGTTCGTAGAAGATACGCTCCTCTTCAGAGAAGCTCGAGATCAAGTTATCCAGGAAGCGGTCTAGTGTCGGCTTGAGAGGATCCGGCTAGCGAGTGTGTTATGGTTAGATCATTGTCAGAAGGAAAGGTAGACGAGCCAGAGTAAGCTTACAATTTGGGAATCCTCGTCTTTGTAGGAGTTTGCCTTCATGTTCCAAATCACTTGATGCGCGAATAGCTGTGATAGTTTGGCGGTTTCGAGGATATAACGCTCAACGTATCCCAGAGCATCGTATCGCAGGGCCTGGACCAATTGAGGAACGAAATAGAAGCGGACATCCATGGAGTGACTTTCCAGAGCACGCATCGCGTATTGCAGAATGAATGGATGGTTACCATAAGCGGGCAAGAAGTATGTCAAAGCTTCGGTAGGATTGACAGGTGCCCAAAACAGCAAATACTAGATAACATATTAGCTCACTGAAGGGACCTCGACTTCCACCTCGAACCCGATACACCGGACTTACCTTCAATTGGAAATTGACATCAGATGGCAAAGACGAGTCAAACATGATTTCAAGGGCACAGGCTTCGGTGATGGCCTTTTCGGGGAAGTTCATGATAAGCCATCGAACATCCTGCTGCATCTTTGGCGATGGGAACCGGGCAGCAAGCTGAATAGCCAGGCCGGGACTCTCAGACCACGCAAGTCGGAGGAAAGAAGCAACACCCTAGTAGACCATGTTAGAGGCAGTCTCAAGTAAAAGTATCGGGATAACCATGGAATGAATACCTCTGCGGGATTCTTCCCTCCGATCAAGGGCATATGGTGCTTGCGCTCTGGCTCCAGAGGGAACAGCCAGACCCGAAGGCGGGATCTCTCATGTTCAATGAGAATTTGCAACAGATCCTGCTTAGCTTGCAGAGACTTGTAGGATCCTTGCGACTGAGAGGCAATATCTGCAACGCTTCGGAGCATAGACAAGGTATCGACGAAGACCTTATCCTCAGCTTTGATTTGTAGACGGTTGCCGCCAAAGGACCATCTAGAAGATTCAAATGTTAGAAATAAGCTCTACTTTACGAGGGTGAAAAGCCAGGACATACCTCGGCGTATGTTTGAACCAGGCGAGGGCAGCCGAAAGGATCTGATCCTTGAGTTTCCAAGTTGCCGGGCCGTCTCGTGGTCGAAGGTTGTTGAGGATCTTCAATCCGAATACGATTATACGGAAATGGATCTCTCTTGCCAGGGGGTGGCTTTGGGTATTCGCGAGGGCCACAACCGTGCTGCTAACCAGTCGACAGAACAGTTGCTGATCCTGCAGGTTTCCGAGGCGTACGGCATTGAAATGGCTCTCGAAGAACTGGAGAACACGCATGTGGGGCGATAAAGCGTTCTGCGCATCTTGCTGCTGTTTGAGCATTAGAGCTTTGTCAGTTGGAAGAAGCTCGATCTGGGCATGCATTGGGTCAACACATCTAAGGCTGTTAGTATTTTGGTTGAAACTTTTTCATGTGGAAGAGGAACGTACTCGAATGACGGGTCAAACAGCCCTTGTCGGCATTGAACACTTCTTTCCCATGCCTCGACAACTTCCGAGAGGATTCGGGGTTCAATGCTAGGGTTTTCATGAATGACCCCAAGCCAGAGAGACACTCCCAGCTTGATCGTTTCTTTGGTAAAGATTCGGAAGGGCAGAGCAACAAGGTAGTGAACAACCGACAGCCGGGGCTTGCTGCTGCTGCAAATGAGACCAGCGGCCTGTCTAAGCAAGTCCCGGACCTCAATAAGCGGAATATCCTCGCCATTGACACTGCGCCCATAGATATGGGAAAGAGTAGCCTCCAGACGATCAGCGGACTCGGGGGACATTTCAGCTTCGGGTGGGTGGCCACTAGTTCCGAATAGATCGTAGTTTGGCCCATGGAGCAAGCGCATATCAGGACGGCGGTACTTTTGACGAGTGGTGTAAAGTGCCATGAAATCAGAAGCCAGGTTGACATCACTGCTGTCGTGACTATCAAGGGAGCTTAGTCGAGGGTCGCTCTGTGGAATCAGAGAACCCATTTCCAATGCGAAAGATCGGCCCATCGAGATGTGACCATATCCCCCATCATCATCGTATTCCGAGAGATAGGTCTGAAGGAGCCCTTGGATGTCGAGAGGGGCAATGTTCAGCACCGCCGTGACCCATGCTTTAGCATGTCCAAGGAATCGGTCCAGGGTCACCTTCCTAAAAGCATAGTTATCAGGCAGATCCACCCGAACAATACCCATCGGAGAAACCAAAGATGGCTTCCACTCAAATTCATCCAGCTCTCCTTGAAGACAGGATGACCACATGACAGTCAGAATTTCCAAGAGAGCAAAGAGAGAATGCTTCTCACACAGAGCCGAAGGGCATTCGCGGATGATCTTATCAACACATTGCGTGGCGATACTCTGAACCCTTTCAATGCGGTGGCAGCAAGCCACCAGGAAATCTGCCAACTGCTTAGACAAGAACGGCGCCGAGAAGTCGTCGAATTCTCCGGAAACTGTTCGCGATAGATAGCAAGAAACAGTTTTGTCGGCGACAGCGCTCATGCATACAACCATTTCTGGGGTTGCAAGAGACGGGTCGCGGAAGTAGTTGAGAATCTTGGTGCAGTCACCTGCCGACGCACGGAGGCTTTCAATCAAAAGAACAGCATTGAGGAACACCGATCTCGGATAATCCAGCCGTTTGATATCAGATTCGCGACCAGCAAGCTCTGCAATCAATGTTTTTTTCTGCTCCAAAACTCGCTGCGGCCCGGAGCCTCGTCTGAGAACAGTGTTGAGCTCTACATCACTCTCGAGAGACTCCATGCGTTCTTCGGCGATGAGTGGCGGGGAGTGGCTTGCAAGCAAACGAAGCTCCTTCATATGCT